ACTGAGGTAGCTCACGAAGGCTGTCCCAGGTTAGAAAGCCATTCAGTGGCAGAATCCAAGCTAGAGCTTCAAATTCAGGCTATGCTTCTGTCACCACCCTGGGCAGCCCTAGCATGGGCTGAGAATGGGAAGCCAAGTCAAAGTCAGCCCTGTGGGGAGGGCATCATAACTAAAGACCGGCTCCAAAACCTAGCGCCAGCATTCAACTCCTTATAACCTTAGGTCATAACTAGGCTGCAATGTCAATTTTCTAGGTTGCTTTTAGGCTCAAAGCCAGAAGTGATGACATTATTAGAATCTGCAGCACCTGCTTTATCTCATTTAATCTTCAAACAACCCTATGCCCTGACTCCTAGGATTCTCCCCCTCCAGTATGCTGAATGAGAAAACAGGGAGCATAGTACAGTGAAGCCACTGGCCCAAGTTCATCTGTTTAGCTGTTTAGCTGCAGAGCCCAACATGAACTTGACCACTGAGGCACTCTACTCCTGGACTAACTGCCAAGTGTTCTCTCCTTAGCAGGTGCCAAATGGTAACCTGGATCTTGGGTTCTAATCTTTTTTTTTTTTTCTTCCAGTTGTGGGGCCTGAACTCTGGGCCTGGGCGCTGTCCCTGTGTTCTTCAGCTCAAGGCGAGCGCTCTACCGCTTGAGCCACATCTCCACTTCCAGTTTTCTGGGTGGTGTGTTGGAGATAAGATTCTCACGGAGTTTTCTTCCCCAGGCTGGCTTTGAACCAAGATCCTCAGATCTCAGCCTCCTGAGCAGCTAGGAGTGATCCACCAGCGCCTGGCTGGATTCTAATCTTTACAGTATTTGTATCACTGTGTCTTTGGGAAGATTCCATGAGATCATATGTTCAATGTATTCTTTACTTCCTGGAATGTACAAGCACCTAATGAATGTGATTGTAATTATTAGTGAGCTTACAGTAAAGAAGTGTTGAAGAGGAAAGCCAGGCAGTTTCCAGGGAATCACTAGAATGGCCCCCCAGAGGGAGGAGACTCAGTAGACTATTGGGAATAGCACTGCTGTTAATAAATAGAACTCAAAAAAGAATATACTTCTGCCTGATCTCTTCTCCCAAGCCCACGATTCTCAGACAACTGGTCTACCTGCTCCTCATCCATCAGTCCACCTATCAATTCTTTCCTACAGATTTGCTCCCAGTGGGGATGCATATCCACCTATAGCCACCAGAGGGCAGGCCAGAACTGTAGTCAAGGCCAAAGGACCAAACACCTATACAGAGCCTGGTCAACTAACCAAAGATAAGTCATGGTATTCTAAGGCCCAACCCAGAATTACACTTTGCCGGTTACACAACTGCTCCCTGGAATCTCCCCACATTGAACTGCAGAAGCCCAACCCACGGGCTGTGAATGTGGCTTAGTGGTAGAGTGCTTACCTAGCATGCATGAAGCCCTGGGTTCGATTCCTCATTACCACACACACAGAATAAAGCTGGAAGTAGTGCTGTGGCTCAAGTGGTAAAGTGCTAGCCTTGAACAAAAGAAGCTCAGGGACAGTGCCCAGGCTCTGAGTTCTAGCCCAAGGACTGGCAAAAAGAAAAAGAAAAGAAAGAGGAGGAGGAGGAGGAGGAAGAGGAAGAAGAGGAGGAGGAAGAGGAGGAGGAGGAGGAGGTGGCAGCGGCAGCAACCCAACTCTTTGGGACATAGGTTCTGATTCTACCAAAGAAACGGCACCATGCACAGCTTCTATAACGACAGCTTCTACCAGCAAGCACTCTGTCATCTCTTGAGTGACTGGAGATGAACACAGTCTTTGGAGTGAGTAGTATACTGTCACAGGATAGAAGGGGTCTAACTGGTTGAGGGTTAACTAGTGAAAGCTGGTATTCAAGGAAGAGCTGTTTCCGTTTGTCCACCTGCCTGAAGGTAGTAGGATGGAGAACTGCAAATGTGGGTGGGAGGGTGGAGGGAAAGGTGGAGACCCAAAGCTTTGAGTGGTTTTCAGTAAACTGAGAGCAGTCATCCGCCCACCGGGCAGGAAGCCACCATTCTGCATGCTTCCTTGAACACCTGTTGGAACTCCGCAATGAATGAGAAGTTTCCTGCCCTCAAAAAGCTGGCAGTCTTAAGTGAGCGCAAAGCAGATGAGTCAGCGGCTCATTAGAGGAACCCCAGAAACCTGTCTACTGGGGTAACCCGGGAGGGGTGGTGACAGTTTAGGGAACACCCCCAAGTCGGGCTCGAATGAGATGCGCGGAGCCCAGGATCGTTGGAAGGGACACCCTCCCTCTTCCCCGCAGCTCCTAAAAGGATGGGGGTTCCCCCATCGAGCTTCGGGTGCCTGCCTGTTTCTGGGGGGGATCGGGGTCCCCTCCCACCCCACTTAGAAGAGCGCGGGCTCCGGGAGGCGGTGACAGCACACCTGACTCAGCCCGCCGCCCACCCGCCCCGCAGCGTCTGTCTCCGCATCTTGTGATATTTCGCTCCCCGGGAGCCGGCCCCACCGCGCTCCGGAGGCAGCTCGGCAAACAAACCCGGCGACAGCTTGTGCCGCGGCTCATTCCGGGGAAGCTCGCCAAATTCCCCCCCCCCCCCAATCCCGACACTCCCCGCACACCCCTCCCCACGCGCGGCCCTCCGCTGGGTGGGGCCCAGGGCAGTGCAAGGCCCTCTGCTTGTCTTGGGGAGATGGAAAGCCCCCCATCACACCACACACACACACACACACACACACACACACACACACCTTCCCCTGGGGACGGAGATCACCAGCGTCTTTGTGTTCTGACCACCTAGGAGCAGGGGAGGGGTGCGAGAGGAAATGTAGGGTCCTTGGGAGCCGGGTCGGGCAGGGATGGAACCAGCAGGGGGTACTAGCAGTGGGGTGCAAGTGGGCTGGGGACACTAAAGGAAACTGGGTGAAGAAGGAAGGGCGGGAGGGAGCAAGGGAAGGGGAAGGAGGAGGAGAAAGGGAAGAAAGGAGAGAATGGGAAGGAGGGAGAAGAAAGGAGAGAGAGGAGGGGAAAGGGAGAGAGAGAGGAGGGGAAGAAAGGAGAGGAAAAAGAGAAGAGAAGAAAGAGGGGAGGGAGGGAGAAGAAAGAGGAGAGGGCGAGGGAAGAGGGGAGAGAGGAAGGGAGGAAAGAGACCGAGGAGAGAGAGAGAAAGCCAGAGCCCCGCTGCGAGACGCGGCGGCTGGAGCCGCCAGCGGCTAAAGGACGGGAAGAAGCAGGTGCGTGGAGGGAGGGGGAGAAGGAATAATGCAGACATGGAGATCATAAAATATGAATAAGAGTTGGGGGGAGGAAATGAGAGCCATCGAATGAGTACGAGGGCAGAATGACAGATCCTGGTAGGAGCCGAGAATGAATGGGAAAGAAGGAGGGCAGCGCTTATAAAGCGCCTACTGTCTGCCACGCGGTGCATTGGACCCTGGCACCGGCGGGCGAGTAGGAGCTGGGGGGTGGGGGAGGGCGGGGGGAGGGCGGGGGGAGGCTGCGGGGCGCAGGGTTCCTGGGCTTCGCCCGTCGGACTGCGCGCAGATGGCCCGGGCACCCGCCACCCGCGGGCGCTCCAGCGATTCCGACGCCGCCTGGCGAGAAGCCCACGCCTGTCCTCGAGGGCCGGGTGTTAAAACACTCTGGGCTGGCTGGAGACCCACACCCACGGCAAAGGGGGGGGCGCTCGTGTCGCCGATTGGCGGACACGATCATGCACTAGGGGTGCGCCGAGCCACCCCACCCCTGGAAACCAGAATCCACCCTTCTGTACTAAGAAGGCAGAAGTTCGAGCCAAACCTCCTCCCCATCTTGGGCGGGGTGGGGGGAGGGGAGAGGGAGGGTCCTCTCCTGCCTTCTGTGGTAGGCTGGAGTTATGGTCACTCTGCGACATCCGATCCACGCGCGCAGGTGGGCACACGTGCCCACAGTTGTACCCGCTTGTAAATGTTTTAAGGGACACACACACACCGCACCCCACACTTAATACCCTCACCGCCCATCCCAAGCTGGTGCGTAATTGTGCACAGCCTCGAGGGGAGGGGACACCCAGCAGTTCACCAGCGCGCACACTCACAGATTCCCACACACACACCTCCGCTTCCCTGGACCGGTATAAAAGGTTGCGTGTTCACACCTGCACGCGCGCGCGTGCGCTCCTTTGCACTTGATCTCGGCTCACACAAACTCCTGTATTGTGAACCGTTCTTAGGATGGTCGTTGTGCGCTCATCTTGGAGGCGGGGGTGTCTGCGAAGGGAAGGGGAAGTAGGAGTTTGGGGCTCTCCTAAGGGAAGGGAAACAACTGCGAAAGGACACCAAGGCGGACTGGGAGTGGGGGGGGGGGAAGAAGGGGGGGCAGACGGGGAAATGACCCAGGAGACGGTTGGGGCAAGTCGGAAGGGGATGATCAGACTCGTTCATGGGGTTCCCTAACACCTCCGCGCCCTACAACCCCTACCCATGAAGGGATTTCTCTAGAAACAACGGAGCCCCCAAAGCCTTGGAACGCAGCCGGCCCTGACTGCCCGGGGTTGGCCGGGCGCGCGACAGGACTGAGCTAGACAACCGCTCCGTGCTCCTAGCGGCCAGCGAAGGGTTAAGTCGCCGGGCTGGGAAGCGAGGGCGGAGCCAGTGAGTGCGGGAAGCGGAGGGAGGGAGTGGGGGGAGCGCTTCCTCGCTGTCCCCACTCTCCCTCGGCGAGCCGCCGGGGCGCACGGACCGACTGACCGGCTCCCTGCGGGCAGCGCTGCGGCGGGGGGCGCGGACGGCTGGGCGTCCCGGGCCAGCCCCGGCCCTCCCCATCCCGTGTGCGCCCCACCCCACCCCGTCCCGTCGGGGGGGGGAGCCCCCGATGGCTCCTCCCGGAGCCCGCAACCCGGGGGGCGCAGGGTAGAGCCCCTCGGCCAGGCAACGCCACCCTCCCCCCCCTCGGGGGGACCCCCGGGCTCTGCGCCTCCCCCCTCCCCGCGGAGTCCCCGCCGTCCGTCCGTCCGGCGGGCTGAGCGAGCGAGTGGGAGCGCCCTCCCCCCGCCGCCCCTTCCCCGGCTCGCGTGGAGACAAGATGCTGCCCGGGCTCCGGCGCCTGCTGCAAGGTAGAGACCCCGGCCGGCCGGCGGGAGGTCGGGGAAGCGGGCTGGGGTGTAGGGGAGCAGGGGTGGGGGTGGTTGTCCTGGAGAAGGAGGGGGGCAGGGCACCCCTCTCCCGGGGTGCGAGGGTGGGGCAGCCTGCGCCTCCGCCCCCGGCTGCCCGCGGGAGGTGGGCACCTTCGGGAGCGTGGCTGGAGCTCGTGACCGAGGGGATCGGGGAGTGGGGGGGGGCGGGCGGGCCGGATCGGGGGTGCGGGGTGGAAGGGAGGGGGATGCTCCAGCGCTGTGGGGCACCGCGAGGACTCGGGCCGGCTGGAGAAGCGCCGACTCAGCAGCTCCCGGGGCCCGGTGTCTCAGCACTTTGCAGTCACCTGGGAGGTCAGTCGGTGTGGGGAGGGGGCTGTCTAGGAAGGTACGGGGTGTGCCCCCCCCCGACGAAGGGAATCCCTAAGGGTAGGAACAGCTGGAGGGGCTAGAGAGAGAGAGAGGTCGTGCCGAGCAAGGAATGAGTGACAGACAAGGGTGTGGAGCTAAGATGGGGGGGGATGGAGAGAGGGGGAGGGGGTCCGTGGGAAAGGGGCGCAAGGAAAGAAACTCAAAAAGATGGGCGAGTGTGCGGGGGAAGTGGAGGAGAGGAAGGAGGCTGGGGGAGGGGAGGGGAGGGCCCCCCCAATAAAGGTTAGACGGTAGAGCTCCTTGGGGAATAGTAGGGGGGGAGTCCTGATAGAGACCGAGGTAGGCGAAGGAAGGGAGGGGAAGAGGCGCCCGAACCTGGGCACAGGTGCCAAGAAGACTTAACTAGAGACCTGGAATGGAGGGAGATAACGGGAAACCATGGGGAGGTGAGGGAGGGGCTGGAGACCAGAGTGGAAAAGGGGAATGAGAGAGAGAGAGAGAGGATGAGACATCCGAGACAGATGATGGAAAGAGATGGGGTATCAGAAGCAGAAGGAAGATGGTGGTGGTGAGAGGTAGGGTTGGATCAGGGAGGAAGTGGGGAGCCTGGGGCTGGATCAGGATGTTGGTAGGTAGAGGGAAGAGGAGAGGAAAGAAGGAGAAAGGGATGGGGAGAGAGGGACCAAGGGTGGGGGGGTAGAAGGGGGGTTGCCCAGGGCTGAGACAAAGAGGTTTCTGGTAACCACTTCCACGTGGGAAGACCTCCATTTCCAAAGCGCCTGCCTATCACATGGCACCACTGGGGAAGTGGCTGGTGTGCCTGCTGAGGGGGCTCAGCTTAGGTCCTGGAGGGTAGTTGTGAAGGAAGTGGCGGGGGGAGTGAGAACTCTCCAGGACGGGTGGTAATTCTCCTTCGGGTGGGCACTCTGACTGCTCAGTGCTGCCATTTATATCTCCCAGCCCTGTCTCCTCCTCAGAAGACGTTCTCCTGGTGGTACTTGGATCCTGCCACCCCACAGTGGCTGCTTATTTTGGGGTGTTACATTCTGGGAGAGTGAGAAGCTGTGTGCAGCAGCCTCAAACCTTTAGTCCTCTGGGGGAAGGGGCGGTGGCATGCATGCCTCCCCCCCCTATCATTTACATCTCCCCCACCCCCATCTTACTGCCCATCTCCCACCCCCCCCCTTAGCCCTGACCCCCCGCCCCAGCCGCTGCCCTGCAAAGCCCTGAAGCCACCTAGGAGGTGTGAGGGTGCTATTTCTTACTGGGACCTTACGATTCTCCTTCCAGAGCCTCTCTCCTTTCTTAGGACCTCTCTACCCCATACCGGAGCCACCTGCTCCCGGCCTCCAGCTGGTCCATGTCCCATGACCTTAAGCCTTTTTTCCCCCTGGGGTCTGAGGAGAATGTTGTCTGGCTACTGCCAGGGCTGGTCGCCCCAGAGTCCTTGACTATGGTCCCTCTGTGAACGGATACTTCTTGACTTTAAGGACCTCAGCCTTCTGGATCAATATCATATTCCGGCCTCCTCCACCCTCTCTCCCCTGGTCAGTTCCGGCCACATCTCTGGATACTGGTCATCTCTTCCCCTCCTCTTCCTACTCCTCTTTCTCTCTCTTTTTCTTTCTTTCTTCCTTTTCTTTCTCTCTTTCTCTTTCTTTCTTCTCCTCTTTCTCCTCCTCCTTCTCCTGTCCTCCTCTTCTTCTTTTCCTCCTCCTCTTTTTCTTCCTCCTCCTTCTTCTTTAGGTGCCAGTCCTGGGTTTGAACTCAGAGCCTGAGCACTGCCCCCTGAGCTTTTACACTCACAACTAGCACTCTACCACTTGAGCCACAACTCCACTTTGGGCTTTTGGCTGGTTAAAGATAGGAGTCTCACAGAGTTTTCTGCTTGGGCTGGCTTTGAACTCCCCTCTCCCCCCTCACCCCCAATCCTTAGATCTCAGTAGCTAGGATTATAGGCATGAGCCACCTTGGCCTTCTCTTCTTGATTCACCAATGTGCCATACACAAATGTGTCAGCAGCCCAGGAGAGGAAAAAGGCAGAGAGCAAAGCCCAGATATCTTCCATGCTTTGACCCTAAACAGTCACACAGCCAGCACTGTGGTTCTGATTGTATTGTGATTGGCTTGGGGTTGATATCGGGGTGCACTTGTCTGTGGTGATTCCTGAGGTTGGGGGAAAGGGTTTCCCAAATGAAGGTCAGAGGGTCTCATGGCATGGGTTTGGCACCTGCGCTGCTACGCATCGGGGTAACACCTCATAGTCACCACAGGAGCTGAAACTGCTCATCTCGTGGCCAGAGCCTTCCTCCTTCACTCTGCCACAGAGTCTGTTGAGCTACTGGGGGTGCTGAGGGATTGTAACAGGTATCTTCTGGATACAGGACTTAACGTGACCAACTCTGCTTGGCATACAGTAGGTGCTTGAGCTCAGTCACCCTCCCTGCCTTATACTATCCTGAAACTTGGGGCTCACCTGCCAATTTTGGAGGGCCCAGGAGTGAGCAGAGGGAGCTGCCAGAAAGGGCTTCCCTCTCCACCCTGCCTGGAAAGCAGTGGAGGGAAGGAAGGCTTCTGAGAAAAGCACTCACTCACTCACTCAGAAAACTCACTCTTGCTGCTGGCTGGCCCTCAGCCTTGTTCCCTGGGAAAGGACAGGCTTTGCTCTAGATGGCCACAGAGGTCAGCATCCCCCGGTCCAGCGCTGACACTCAGTGCATCATGTCCCAGTCCCTGCTGGGGATGCACAGAGCCAGGGCCAGGAGAGGGGAGCTGTGGTCCTGAGGTGGGGGGGGGGGTGGAGAGGAGGATGCATGGAGCTTGAGAGGAAGCAGTGGCTGAGAAGAGGCAGGGGGTGGAGGAAGGAAAGGGAGAGGGCACCCCCTGGGCAGGAAGTGGGGGGGGGCACACAAAGCAAGGAAAATGAAAAAGGCACTCTCTCAGTACCCGCCCCCCCCACACACAACCTGACTTCTGCCTGAGTGCGCACTCCAACCCAGCCTGGGGGCAGAGCAGCCCAGAGCCCCCCACCTCCCCTCCTCCTCGCCTCCAGTGAGAGCCGCAGCCTGAATTATGGATGAGGCTCCTTGGGTTACAGCTGCTTTGCGCGGCAGCGAGGGCCAGAAATGGCAACAGAGTCACTGTTACGCAGCAGCTGTCATGGAGGGGGCCCCCTCCCCTCCCAGGTCAGGATCCCCCCCCCCCCACCTCACAGAGCGGGCAGGGCAGGGAGTACCATAGAGGCTGGGGGACATAGGGAGACAACCAGGAGCTGATGGTTGAATGTGAGCAAGCGCAGAGCCAGTTAGTCCTGGGCAAAAAGGATGATAGGGAGGGCGAGGGGGTGGGGGTCGCCTGCCACCATCAAGTAGGGTCTCAGGCTGGAGGAGACCCTGATATCCCAAAAGGAGCCCCCCCCCCCCCCACACACACACACTGCTTCCCCGGGCCTCTCTTGGAGTAGCAGGCCTTCCTGAAAGCAGGAGGAAGAGCCCCTCCCAAGCCCCCAGGGGGCTAACCATCAACGCTGCGGGTGGATTAGAAGCTGAATGAAGACATCCAAGAAGGACTTTGCATCCTTTGGTGTCAAATCCTTGGAGAGGCAGAGCTCCAAGGGTGATTGACAGGAAGGGAAGTTCCCTGGCTGGGCAGCAGGAGAGTCTTTTTTTTTTTTTTTCTGGTTCTTACCCTGTGCTACTTTAACGTGTGACCTTGAGTAAGTTGCTTACCTCTCTGGGCCCTATTGGTCACCTCCATCCACACCACAGATGCTTGAATTAAATGAACCTGCAGGACTTTGGGCAGTTTTTGGAAATCTCCAATTCTAAGCTCAAACTTCAGCACTCAGCAAACCCATTTAGGGCCTTCCCCCCACCCCCGCCCCGCCCCGCCATTACATTTCCACACTCTACGGATCAGAGGGTGAGAGACATGATCTTCTACCCCCTTCTCCACGTCCCCCCCCCCACACACACCCCCACCCCCACCCCGCAGCACGTGGTTCTGAAAGAAAAAGTCGGGAGGAGAAAGTAATCGTGAAACGCCGCCCGGGGGAGGGGGTGAGAAGGGCCGAGAAACGCGGAGGTGGTGTGAACGAATAGAACAGCCGCGCTGTGTCACCCAGTATTACATCACACCCAGCCTACACGCGTACGCACGGGCCCGGCACACACACACACACACACACACACACACACGCACACACACACACGCACGCACAGGGTAGCCGGCAGCACACAGCTCACACACACCATGCAGCACAATACCTGCCAGGAAGGACCAGGCAGGGACAGTCACCGTGGGGCCTGGAGTGGCACTGGGTGGTACTAGGAAGCCAGGCATGGCTGCATCTGTGGCATCAGCACCACTTGGTATTGTGGGTACACACCTGATTGCTCAATGCCTCCTGTACTGAGCACCTGGCTCACTCTGTCACCCCAAATCACACACACGCAGGCACACATCCTCTCTCTCTCTCTCTCTTTCTCTCTCTCTCTCTCTCTCTCTCTCTCTCTCTCACACACACACACACACACACAGAGCAGCCTCCTCAGTGTGAGAGGTCACACACAACACATCTTGCAGACCTGCAGGTCTGGCACCCATCATCACCCACACCTGGACCATCCCCAGGGCCTCTCACAGAGCTCCAAGAGCCAGGCCTCCCTTCCTCCCCCTTAGTGCCTTGCTAGAGACGGGAGGGGAGGGGTGGTCATGCACCCATAGAGAATGCCTGCCTGTCTTTAGGGGTGTGGCTCACTTAGAAAACCTCTGAAGCCTTCGGCAATCCTTCTGCAAACCTAGTTTCAGCCAGAACTTTCAGACGCTACAAGGAGAGTAAAAAGCCCCCCAGACAGAGATGGAGGGCTGGCGCCATGCTTCTCAGCATAGAATTTCGGGCATCTATGCTTTAGTCCTCCATCCTGAGGCCTCCATGGGCCTGCTTCTCCATCAGTGTCCGAAGTAGGGTGGACCCGCACACCGTGGCTTACCTCTGTCATCCTAGCTACTCGAGTGGCTGAGATCTGAGGATCATGGTTCAAAGCCAGCCCAGGCAGGCAAGTCTGTAAGACTCTTCTCCCTAGTGAACCACTAAAATGGCAGAAATGGAACTGAGGCGCCAGTGGTAGAGCACCAGCTTTGAGTGGAAAAAGCTAAAGGGGCAGTGCTGAGACCCTGAGTTCAAGCCCCAGTGCTGGCACCAAAAAAAAAAAGGAGAAAGAAGAGAGGGAAAGGAAGAAAAGGAGGGGGAGAAGGAGGAAGTAGAGAGAGAAGAAAAAGAAGAGGAGGGGCAGGAAGAGAAGGGACACTATCCAATCTTCACAAATTACTTGGGGGGCAGGGGGAGAAAACCACAAGTTAAGATGGCTCTGAATGAGGAGAGCTTGGTCACATACAGTGACGATCGCAAGCAACCCCCAGGAATCCTGACTTGTTGGAGTCTTGGCAGCTGAATCCTCTCCAGGACCCCCAGCTCTCTTGGTGTCTGTGAGGCCCACTGCCCGCTGCTCCCCTAGGCCCTTCCAGAGTCCCTGGCTCCAGTTCTCATGGGTTAAAAACCCGCAGGATGATGCAGGAGGACAGCTGTGGTCGCCAGCCCTCATCCCCGCCCCCCGCCCCCCCTCCAAGGCTGGATCCTGGGCCCATAGAGGCCTTAGATTCACAAGTCCCAAGTTAGTTCCACTCATTCTCGAGTGGGTTGGCTCTGCCTCGCTGGGGACATTTGGCGATGTCTGGAGACATTTTGGTTGTCACAAGTGGGGGCAGGATGCTGCGGGGACTCACTGGAAAGCCTGCAGATTCCTGTGGAGGACTTCCCCCCCCCCCTCCCCGCCCGTCAAGACTGAGGATGGAAACCTTCACCGATAGGCTTTTGACATTGATCTCTAGACAAGGTCAAACTTGCAACCATACCAACAGGAATGACAGAACAGTCATTGGCAAACACGTTTAAAAAAACGATCACACAGGGGCTGGGAAGGTGGCTCAGTGGGAGGGTGCTTGCCTCCCAGGCTTGAGTCCCTGGGTTCCATTCCTCAGCACCACATAAGCAGAAACAGCTGGAAGTGGTGCTGTGGCTCAAGTAGTAGAGCGCTAGCCTTGAGCTGAAGAACTGAGGGACAGTCCCAGGCCCAGAGTTCAGGCCCTTTGATGGACAAAAAATAAATAAAATCACACAACTATAACCCTCTGTATAGCTCCTTTATAATAACAATAAAACAGTATTTTTAAATAGCACCGTGCTTTCTATACCATCCTCCGGGTTATTGCTATAGTTATTGTGGTTGTTGTTTTAAATATGCATCCAAAAGGAGATTTGCACTGGATAGCAGTGCCTCACACCTGTGATCCTAGCTACTCAGGAGGCGGAGATCAGACAATCATAGTCTGAAGTCCCTCCAGGCAGGAAAGTCCATGAGTCCACAAGACTCTTATCTCCAGTGAACCAACAAACAGCCAACCGGGGAGGTGTGGCTCAAGTGGTAGAACACCAACTTTAAGCGAAGAAGCCGGGCAAGGGTACAAGGCCCTGACTTCAAGCCCCAGTACTGGCATGCACAGACAGACAGACAGACTGACAGAGATTTGCAGACCTCCAAGCTACCTGGAGAACAAAGATGTGACCAGACCTAACAAGACTCAGGCTGCCTCCCCCTCCTCTGCGTGTTCCCGATAGCGTGGCACCAGGACTCCGGGCCCTAGCAGGTGCGCAGCAGGCCCTGGTGGCCCGCCGCTGCCTCCCAGTCCACCCAGAGGCACTTGCAGCCTTCCCTTTTACTCTCCCCACAGGTCCTGCCTCGGCTTGCCTGCTGCTCTTGCTCCTGGTGCTGCGGCCCGCGGCCCCCAGCTGCCCTATGCTCTGCACCTGCTACTCCTCCCCGCCCACCGTGAGCTGCCAGGCGAATAACTTCTCCTCTGTGCCGCTGTCCTTGCCACCCAGCACTCAGCGACTCTTCTTACAGAACAACCTCATCCGCACGCTGCGGCCGGGCACCTTCGGACCCAACCTGCTCACCCTGTGGCTCTTCTCCAACAACCTCTCCACCATCTACCCGGGCACTTTCCGCCATCTGCAGGCCCTAGAGGAGCTGGACCTCGGTGACAACCGGCACCTGCGCTCCCTGGAGCCCGACACCTTCCAGGGCCTGGACCGGCTACAGTCCTTGCACCTGTACCGCTGCCAGCTCAGCAGCCTGCCTGGCAACATCTTCCGAGGCCTGGTCAGCCTGCAGTACCTCTACCTCCAGGAGAACAGCCTGCTCCACCTTCAGGTGAGCCGCCCCTCCCCATCCTTCCCCCCAGATCTCTCACTCTACACAGCCCCCACACCTATGTGCCCCTCAGCATCTCTGTGTCTATTTGCCTGGCCCTTTTCTTTTCCTTTTGCCGGTCGTGGGGCTTGAACTCAGCACCTAGGAGCTGTCCCTGAGCTTCTTTGTGCTCTGAGTCACAGAGCCACTTCTGGGTGTTTTCTCAGTCATTTACTGGAGATAAAGAGTCTCATGGATTTTCCTGCCTGGGCTAGCTCTGAACCGCGATCCTCAGATTTCAGCCTCCTGAGTAGCTAGGATTACAGGCGTGAGCCACCAGCGCCTGGCGTTCCTGTCCCTTTTCTTAAGAGTCTGTCCCTCTCACATGCTCCAGCCTTCACTCTGTCCATCCTAGATTGGGTCTCTCTCTCTCTCTCTCCCTCCCCACCTCTCTCTTTCTCCCTCTCTGTGCCCACCCTTTACTACCTTTCTCTGTCTGTTGGACTCTCAACTAAAACCCCATCTGCCTGTCTATCCTTCCCTCTCCTCTCCTCTCTGTCTCTCTTTCCTCAAACCCCCATCTGCCTCTGTCTGTCTATCCTTTCCTATCTCTCTCTCTGCCTAACTTGCCTCCCCCATCTGTCTCCCTCTGCCTCTTCTGTCTGTCTCCCTTCACACACCCACTCTGCACACTCCTCCATGTCTGCCTCTGTGTGTGTGTGTGTCTTTTTGTGATCTCTTCTCTGCCTTCCACAGACTCCACCTTTCCCCAGCTCCCCAGACCAGTGGCCTTTACAGATGGTCTCCCCATCCAACCCCAGATCTTCCCACTTCGCAGGCAAACAGGGCAAGAAGGATCTCTCCTTGAACCTTCCACCCTGTCCAGCCCCCTGTCCAGCCCTTTATAGATTCCAGTTCTCCAACTCTGTCAGTTCAGTGCACAGGAAAAGAAAAAAGAAAAAAAAAAAAAGAGGCAAAACTCTGTTACCTAGCTGGAAAAATGGATCTCCTGGAAAAAAAAAAAAAAGAAGGAATAACAGTAATTGTTATTTATTGTTATTATTATTGATCTAATTATTGTTTATTATTGTTGTTATACTGACTGCCTGACAGTCAAAGCCTCCTATTCCATTTCCCCAGGAAGCAATAACACACCCTACAAACCACCCAAGGAGAAAATCTCTCTTGGCTGCACAGCCACCAGCTGTGGAGGGGAATGAGGGATTCCAGCCCTCTTCCTCTCCCACCCTAAGGAGACCTGGAGGGTGCTGCCACCTCCTCTCCCCCTCCCTTCCCCTCCTCCCCCCTCCTCTTTTTCCTCCTCCTCCCCACTCCAGGCTGGTACCTAATGGAACCAATCTACTAGCTGGAAAATCAGGTCTGGTTTGATATCTGCTAAGAGCCAAAGCGATCACTTAACACTCTTCTTGAGCACCCAGGTGGTGCTTGGTTGGGAATCTAGCAGCAGACAAGACACTCCACCAAGACTGAGTTATTTGTTTGTTTTATTGGTGCCAGTACTGAGGCTTGAACCCAGGGCTAGCAGTACTCTTCTTGGCTTTTTCCACTCAAGGCTGGTGCTCTACCACTTGAACCCCACCTCTACATCTGGCCTTTTTTTTTTCTGGTTCATCACAGACTTTTCCAGACCTTGGCTGGCTTTGAATTTTGATCCTGAGATCTTAACTTCCTGAGTAGCTAGGATTACAGGCATGAGCCACCAGCACCTGTCCCATTTTGTGTCTGGAATCTAGTGGAGAAGGCAAGGCAGCAAAATGCCTAGCATGCTGGGAAAATATATCATGTGTTGTCATAAAATAGAGCAGTGACCACTCAGCCAGTACCACCCTTGGGTCAGGCACTGTGCAAAGCACATTCAGGCACCCACCCCATCATTTCCAAGTGTGTGCCATTTTATTTAACCCAGGCCTCGATTTCCTCATCTGTACAATGGGAAATCCTGGGCACTTTATAAGCCTTTGATGCATGAATAATTTGTGAGGCACTTAGAATAGTGCTTGGCATTCAGTACGCATTGTATAAATGCTTGTTAAAATACTATCTGAAAGAGAAAAGGAAGTGAGACTTATTTAACGTTGGTCTCAAGTGCAGTGCCCCAACTTGAACCTCATCCTGGAGAGTTGGGTCAAGTTCAAGGATTATATGGAGGCCGTGGGAAGGTTCCAGAAGGTTCCTTCCCTTTCTTTTCTTTCTAGACTGGCCTGGGACCACGGGGTCACCAAAGCACAGTCAGCCCCTCATCTCACTCCTTGCTGAGGAGAGTCCCCCTCACCCCTCCCATGCCATTGTTAAGAATGAGGAGCCCAGAGGTCCTGGACTATTGCACGGTGTGGCTGTTCTTACCAAGACGCTGGTAGCTGGGACAGATAGGGATGGCAGGGACATGGGACTGGGAGGCCCTGAGGCCATGCAATGCGGAGGTGAGGGGGGCTGGCTGTTGACCTGCCTAGTCCAACCACACTTCACGGGGGATGGTAGGTGTCTCCTCTCCCCCCTCCCCCAGCTCCAAAGTGCAGTTGCATGAGCTGGTTTTTTGACAGAACCATCCTTTGAATCTACCAGACCTAGATTCATTCACACTGGTTCCTTTATGGCTTTGGACACATGTCCTGTCTCAGACTCCACATCCTCACTTCTAAGCTGGCCATCATGGCTCTGCTTACTGATCGTTCTCTGCAAGATGGAAATGTATTTCACACAAGGCCATAAGCCAAGCGGGTGACACTGTCATTGTTGTTATAGGTGGAGTCCCCTTCATCTGGAATGCTAGGGGCCAGAAGTGTTTCAAATTTCAGAGTTTTTTGGACGATGGGGTATTTGCATATATTTGTTTGTATTTGCATATATATGTGTGCAAATATGTTGAGTGAATTTACTATACATATATTTGTAATGAGATATTTTGGGAGTGGGACCTCCCAAGTCTAAGTACAAAATTCAGTTACATTTCATATATATATCTATACACGTAGCCTGTAGGTAACTATATACGTTTTAATAACTTTGTGTCTGAAACAAAAATTTCATGTTGTGGACTCCTGTGACATCATGCTTGTGCTGGAAAAGATTCTGATTTTTAAGCCAGGCACTAGTAGCTCACACCTGAAATCATAGATATTCAGGAGGCTGAGATCTGAGACGCACGCTTCCAAGCCAGCCTGAGCACGAAAGTCCATGAGACTCTTATCTCCAGTCAACCATCAAAAAGTCAGAAGTAGAGCTGTGGCTCAAGTGGTAGAGGGCCAGCCTTAAGCAGAAAAATCTGACAGTGCCCAGAGGTATCTTGGGCTCCAGTTCAAACACTAGTATGGGCACCAAAATAATAATAATAATAATAATAAACCAGATTTTGGAGCATTTTCCCCCCAGATTTTTGTTTGTTTTGTTTTGCTTTAGCCAGTTTGGACTCAAGGCCTTGGACCTGCTAGTCAGGTACTCTCTACTCACACCACCCCCCTAGCCCTGATTTCAGATTTTCTGTTTAGGGATGTTCAATCTGTACTTTTGAATTCCTAATCCTGCTACTGGTATGGGAATTGGTACTATTCCCGAGATCCTGATTTAACTTCCCAGCTCTGAACCTCAGTTTCCTCTTCTATACACGGGGCGAGTAATAAAACCGATGCTTTCCACAAAGAGCAGCTGGAGGAGGGAGGGAGGGCGGGAGGGAAGGAGGAGGGCACTGCATGGAGTTCAGTGCTAAATAAACCACGTTCTCATGACCTGATCATCCATCTATGCATGGGCCCATGAATGATCACCCGCCTGTGGGGTCAGCAAAGGTCCAGGCTGAAGGGGCCACAGGTGGACAGTGGGGTCTTCTGAGATGGGAAATGCTTGTCTGTACACCCCTGACATGGGTGGCCCAGAGCATCATGGGAAGGAAGCATCTTCACACCTGGGCCCTGTATAGAGGAGGAAAGAGACAGCCTCCGCCTGTGAACTGCCCGGCGGAACTAAGCTGAGAGATGCCACAGGCAGGTGGGGAAACGTGGGCTGCGGTGAGACCTACAGAGTGTGTAGGTGTGACCCAAGATGGCACCAGGCCTACCCTGTGAGGAGGCTTCACAAGGGGTCTGGCAGGGAGAGGTGGACAGGGGAGGAGGCAAAAGTGCTCACAAACCGTGTGCTGGATTTCAGGCACAGTGCCAGGCAAGTTCATTCACTAACAGATACTTACTGAGCACCTAACTTCATGCCAGACACAGTGTGCGGGGTGCCAGGGATTCTGGGGGAAGGTGGGGGTGGGGGTTGAAGGGAATAGTATGCTGGTCTGTGGAGCCGATTTCCTGCTGGAGAGGAGCCAGGCGATAAAGATGCTCATTCTTTCTTCTAATTATCGCAGTGGCCTGTGTAATGGTTAGGAGCAAGCGTTATGCTCAAGCAGATCGGGAGTGTGGATCCTAGCTTCACCTCCCATTTGCCCTGTGGCTTTGAGAAAGTGACTCAACTATTCGGAGCCTGTGCGATGGAGACAATGTCTCTTGGGGTAGACTAGGATGTTGTGATTAAAGTAGGTGCTGCTTAAAAAAGGCCTCCGTCCACACTGAAGGGTGGCTATTGTTGAATATTTCGCAGCAAAGTTAAGTCACCAGCTCTTTAGTAAGGGACACTGGGCTGTCTCTGGCTCCAGAGCTCAGCTGTCCTGAGCCCTATCTCTGAAGTTTACATCTACATTAACTGTTGGGCTCTAGGCAAGTCTCTTCCACTCTCTGGGCCCTCCTCCCTCTCCTAGTCTTGAAAATGGAGGTGATCGTACATCCGCCTTACGGAGTTGATGACTAACAGTGCAGCACAGGGCTTGGCACATGGTGAGAACCCTAAGTAAATCATCAGCCTGACGCTGGTGATGATGACAATACCACCAGCCATAGACCGGTGAGCCCCGGGAGCGGGGGATGCCTGGGACAGGGTACACCCGCCAAACAGCTTTGCTGAATGAGTGAGCTACATTCTCCAGCTCACAGACTCACATAAATAGCAGATGCGGGGCTGGGCGAGGGGAGGGGTGGGGGGGACCTTAAAGATCAATTACTCAGGGTTACTTGTCTCACAGATGAAAACACCCAGGCCCAGACAGGTGCCTGGAACTGCGCAAGGTCACACAGCCTGGCAGCTGATTTGACGGGTGCCAGGGCCAGGAGCTGGAAGGTTGGAGAGAGCCAGGCAAGGTTGAGAACAGGATGCTGTCCAGGGAAGGGCAGAGGGGAGGGGCGGCGGGGAGGGATGGCTGTATTAAGATTCCAAATGGATGCAGAAAGCTGTGAAGCAGCCAGGCGGGAGGCGAGGGAGATGTGGTTTTTGAAATGGAAGAGGATGGCTTCAGCAGCCGGCTCTGTCCAGAGGGAGGGGCCCAGAGAGCGAGGCGAGGGGGGAAGGCCGGGGCTGTGAAAGTCAAGAGCTTATTAATGCACAGAGAGGAAGAACTGGATTTGAGAGCTGCAGCCCAGGAAGTGGCGGTGGGATTTGGCAACAGCTTGGATGGGGGGAAGGGGGCAGGCGGGGAGGGGCAGACCCCCCCACCCAAGGCTGAGGCTCTGGGAGGGGTGGAGCAGGATTTTTTGCAGAGACACAAAGAGGGGGTTGGAATCGGCTGTGGATCAGAGGCACCTGAGTGGCCTTGTCTTCTGAACCTCCCTTTCCTGACCATCTTGAGCGCCCAAACAGGGTGGTGACCTGCCTGCCTCCTTTATTGATCCTCCTAACGTTCGGCTCTGATACATCTCACCCTTATTGGCAATCCATTAACCAAAAAGGAAAAAGGAACCCTAAGTAGGTCTTGAGCGAAAGGATAAGAGTTCATTCTTGGTGAGCCTGGAAGAAGAGGACATGGCTAGGGCCAGGCTCAGGAGGGATAGAAGGAAGTATGACGAGGAATCTGAGCTGGGATGGGGGGGGGGGGCGGTGGCATTGGGGGTGGAGAACGCTGGTGTCAGGCAGTGAGAAGGTTGAGGGGGACGGATCTCAATGTGGCCAAGAGGAGGGTTCTTGGCAGGCTCAGTTCCTGAAGCAGAGAGGGCGGAAGGCAGATGGGAGGGGGCGAGAGCACGCAGGAGCACAGGAAGGTGGAGGCTGTGGGTGTGGGCTGGGAGTCAATGCCCGCCCCCCCCCCAACCTGAGACTCACAGACCAGGCCCTGTCCTGGGAGGCGAGGGGGGGGGGGGGGCAGGAGCTATAGCAGGTCCGCTGGCCTAAGCGGAAAGAGTGCTGGCCTCCCTGAGAACCAGCCATCCCGGGACCTGCTGACAGCAGCGATGTGGGAAGGACAGCACCTCTGGGCAGCGCAGTCAGGCGACTGACCTACCGGGGCTCTGGCTGCTCCTCCAGCCAAGAAGCCCTTGCTGGCTCCGGACCTCGCTATCTACTATTCTGTAAAAAGTGGGCTGGGCTAGTGAGTCCCAAAGGACTAGCTGCCTTGTCAGCTGGTTGTCAGATTTCCCTGGTTAACAGGGAGAGGCCAGGCGCCCCCCCCCCCATCACCACAGGTCACACCCACATGTGTTAATGCTGAAGCATAATTCCAAGGTCTTCCCAGGGCTCACATGACTCCCCCACCCCCACCCCGGGGGAGGTGAGAAAAGTTTCTCTTAAAGGACAACTCAGCTGCTTCTGAATTTGTCCCCGCTGGAGTCGGTGTCTGACCCAGCCGCCTCTTTCCTTCAAGGAAATAAATAAGATGGGCCTGGATTCTAACTGAGCCCCTAAAGTCATGATACCCACTGGTAACTGATGGCTCACTGCTCTTCCAGGCCTGTCACCTCCATAGCTCTAGAGTATCTAATCCTGAGTGCTGTGGGTTGTTTTTTTCTTGGTGTGTTTTTCTCCCGGTTGCACATATTAAGGAAACTGAGATTCAATCAGGTTAAATAGCTTGCCTAGAACTGGGGGGTGGGGGGCGATGCAAGCTGGATTCTGAGCCCCTAAGCCTGCGGGCTTTGGATCAAATCCCCGGAGTGCAGGCACTGTGCCCAGACTACGCTCATGAACTTCATGTGAACTGTCTTCTTCAATTTTCAGAACAGGCCCTCGAGGTAGCTAATACTCACCTCCAGATAAGAACACAGGCTTGGACAGAGTACTGACTTGGCCAAGTTACCAAGAATGGCTAACTCATCCAATGCCTCCCACTCAGGGACTTTCTTCCAAACACCTCGCTACATGGCTCTTTATTTGATCTCTGTATTTTACAGATGAGGAAACACAGAGACACAGAGTGACTTATCCAAATGACAGTGAAGTCAGGATCTGAAATCAGAAAGTCTGGTTCGACAGTCTGTATGCTTTTCCAAGCCATATTCACTTGTCATTATCACCACTATCATCATCATATTTAAATAGCTATACCAAGGGATTCTAATTCAATATATCAGTCTAATTCATCATTTGTGTGTGTGTGTGTGTGTGTGTGTGTGTGTGTGTGTGCTGGTCCTGGGGCTTGAACTCAGGGTCTGGATGCTATCCCTGAACTTTTTTTTTTTTTTTGGGGGGGGGGGGGTGGTCCGGTCGTGGGCCTGAACTCTGGGCCTGGGCGCTGTCCCTCAGCTCTTCACCTCAAGGCTAGCGCTCTACCACTTGAGCCACAGTGCCACTTCTGGCCTTTTTATTTATTTATTTATTTATGGTAGTTAATTGGAGAGAAAAGTCTCATGGACTTTTCTGCCCCAATTGGCTTTAAAACTCGATCCTTAGATCTCAACCTCCTGAGCAGCTGCTAGGATTGAGTGTGAGCCACCAGTATAATGATGCTTGATCAATGTCTCCTTCCACAGTTCTCCTCTTTCCCACTCCACTCACTCCACTTCACATTACCTGAATCTGTTTTCACATGTGCACATTGAATAGTATGACTGCAGTCACTCACCCTTCCTCTCTCCATTTGTCTCTCCCCCTTCCCCCAAACCTCACCTTCCCCACGGAAAAAACAAGTGCGGGCTTCTTGGTATTCATTTTATTATAGTGTAAGTTAGTTGCTCAAAGGAGTTATACCACTGGCTCTTCCCTTGTGTATACCGTACTTGGGTTCAGAGGTTTGTGTGTATCTATGCATTGTATCTTTTCATCTATGAAACCAGAGGTTCTCCAAGTGTGGCCAACCCCATCACCAGGTAACTTGGAAAGAGGCATAGATTCTCCGGCTGTTTACCCCCAGAGCTGCCAACTGGGAAACCCTAAGTTGGCAGAGTTCATAGTATTTTGTTTAGTTGTTGGTCGGTCGTGGGGCTTGAACCCAGGGCCTGGGCGCTGTCTCTCAGCTCTTCTGCTCAAGGTGAGCGCTCTACCACTTGAGCCACAGCGCCACTTCCGGTTTTCTGGTGGTTCACTGGAGATAAGAGTCTCATGGACTTGCCTGCCCTGGTTGGCTTCGAACCAGGATCCTCAGGTCTCAGCCTCCTGAGCGGCTAGGATTACAGGCGTAGCTGGGTTTAGGGTAAAGAACCAGTTTGCTTTCCCCACCCCCCACCCCCCAGCAAAGAGATCATTAGAGAGAAGGTAGGACTGGGATTCAGGACTCAGGTCCCCACTCCTCTGTCTCCCCAACGCGGCCCGGGGGCGGGGCCCCCTTCACCCCACCCCAGCTCAGCACCCCTGTCTTCTGTCCCCCCCCCCACGCCCAGGATGACCTGTTCGCGGACCTGGCCAACCTGAGCCACCTCTTCCTCCACGGGAACCGCCTGCGGCTGCTCACCGAGCACGTGTTCCGCGGCCTGGGCAGCCTGGACCGGCTGCTGCTGCACGGGAACCGGCTGCAGGGCGTGCACCGCGCGGCCTTCCGCGGCCTCAGCCGCCTCACCATCCTCTACCTGTTCAACAACAGCCTGGCCTCGCTGCCCGGCGAGGCGCTGGCCGACCTCCCCAGCCTGGAGTTCCTGCGGCTCAACGCCAACCCCTGGGCCTGCGACTGCCGCGCGCGGCCGCTCTGGGCCTGGTTCCAGCGCGCGCGCGTGTCCAGCTCCGACGTGACCTGCGCCGCCCCGCCCGAGCGCCGGGGCCGCGACCTGCGCGCGCTCCGCGAGGCCGACTTCCAGGCCTGCCCGCCCGCCGCGCCCACCCGGCCCGGCGGCCGCGCGCGCGGCGGCGGCGGCAACGGCTCCTCCAACCACCTGTACGGCGTGGGCGGGGCCGGGGGCGGGGCCGAGCCGGTGGGCGGGGCCGGGGGCGGGGCCGAGCCCGGCGCGCCCCCCGCGCACCCCTCCACCCTCTACCGCGACCTGCCCGCCCCCGAGGACGCCCGGGGGCGTCAGGGCGGGGACGCGCCCACCGAGGACGACTACTGGGGGGGCTACGGGGGCGAGGACCGACGCGGGGAGCAGACGTGCCCCGGGAACGCGTGCCAGGCGCCTGCGGACTCGCGCGGCCCGGCGCTCTCGGCGGGGCTGCCCGCCCCTCTGCTCTGCCTCTTGCTCCTGGCGCCCCAGCACCTCTGACTTTGTGGCGACTCGAGAGGCCTCGGTTCGAGTCCTCCCACCACCTCTTCTATTCCCGCGGAGCCGCAGCTCTGCCACCCCCCCTTGACCGGCTGCCTTCTTTTATGTTTGTCCCTCCTACCTGCCCCCTCCTCCTCTCCCCTCCCCTCCCCTCTCCCGGGACCAGGCTGCCTCTCCTGGCCTTTCTGGGGTGTGGTGGCTGAGACCCTAGTCACCCTAACTCTAGCCATTGACTCTTCCTCCTCATCCCGAGCTGGGGGTGGGGCGCCCTAGGCAGCCGCTCTCGGCCCCCCCATCTCCAGGACCCACAGTGGACTCAAAGGGGCTTTTATAGGCAGAGCATCTCCCACCAGCAGAGCCTTTGGAAGCTCCCCTTCCCCCCCCCCCCAGGGGAGCCCCCACCCACCCAGGACCCTTCCGGAAGGATGCTTCCAGACCAGGGCCGGGCCGACCATGGGCCTTGCTTATCCCGGTCCCCTCTGTCTCCGGACACTGGAGGAATATGTTTTTCTCCTAAGTCTACTCGGGACATTTTTTTAGGGTGCCTGGAGAGAGCTTTCCTCTCCACCATGGACCCCGTGTGGTGACGATCAAAAGAAGTTGTTTGGGAAAAAAAATTTATTAAAAAAATTCTATTATTTTATCTCCTGTTTAAAAATCCATCTATGTCGTTTTTTTGGACCCAGGACCTGAAAAGTGAGATCGGTGAGGGCTTAAAATGGAAAGGATTTCAGGAGTTGGGGGGGAAAGAAAGAACAATGCCAGACCGTCGAAGAGCCCCCTGCTGGCGGGAACGGATTATAGGCGCCATGCCATGCTAAGAAGCCAGAGCCCAGGGACGATTGGGGTGACCCCTCTGTCTCCCAGAGGTGTTTGCTGATGGCACCTCATCTCATGTGTCCAGGAGGAGCAGGCCCAGCCTCAGCCTGGTGTGTCTGGGAGCTGCGGACCTGGGGGGCTGGGGGACGTGGAGGATGTGGGACTGGCGCCTGGCTGAAGGAGAGAACTGTGCCCTGGGAGGCAGTGAGGAGCAACGTAGACGCTGCGGGCTCATCCAGGCTTTGGGCGGATCTGGAGAAGTCATTTCTTCCTCTGCTGTACCCCAGAGCAGAGCCAAAAGCTGAGTTCCAGCTCACATTTGCCCCTTTACCGGAGGGCCCTGGAGCAGTGCACGGCCTGGCGCCACAGCCCTGTAAACATCCAGTCTCCCTCCCTTACCTCCTGCCAGGTACAGGCTGCTACAGATGGGCCAGGTTAGAGATAGACGAGAACCCCAGGGGTGAGGATGAGCTGAAGAACAAGAAATTGGGGCGATCCAAAGCTTCATCTTGCCGTGCAATACTGATGCTGGGCACAGGGAAGAACCAAGGACTGAGAGCCAGGCGCCTGTGGCTCACGCCTATAATCCTAGCTACTCAGGAAGCTGAGATCTGAGGATCGCGATTCAAAGCCAGCCCAGAAAACCGGAAGTGACGCTGTGGCTCGAGTGGTAGAGCGCTAGCCTGGAGCTGAAGAGCTGAGGGACAGCGCCCAGGCCAAGGGTTCAAGCCCCACAACCAACAATGACAACAAAAAAAGGACGGAGAGAGGAGGGGTAGGACTGAATGTGCTCAGAATCAACCGAGGTTTGGTGGTTTGAACTTAGGGTTAAGAATCCAGCTTGGGAGTGGAGGGTCGTGGGTGCCCGAGGATCCTGAGAGTTTGTGATGGATGGGGAAGTCGCAGGGTGGATGGAAGGGGGACGAAAGATCTGAGGGAGTCCATAGCCAACATGGAAGGCAGGCGGGTTTTGGATGTGGGTGTGGAGTGGGTGAGGGGCAAGTGAGAGGTCTGAGTCTGGGGTCTCCAGGGGCTGCCCTCAGGCTGGCTTTAGGGAGGCTCATGAATGGGCTGGGGGTGGGGATAGGGGAGCCAAGCAAAAAGCAGGGCTGGAGGAGGGGCTGCTAGGCCTGGGCAGGGGGAGGGAAATGCTGGTAAATCAGAGGCAGGCTGTCCAGGTCACGGAATTATCGTTGTGAAATATTCATGGGCCTTTGGTCCAGATGCTATTTCAGAACAGCCAGAGCAGGAGGAGCGTGTGAGCCTCAGGAAGAAGCCTAGAGCAGTTCTGCTCCCCACCAGCCCCCACCGCTGCCACCACCAGCCCAGACAGACCCACGGACGCCCTGTCACGTGTGTGCCCACACTCTCCAGCTCCCGCTCGCACACACACAAAGCAGAGCCACACGCAGCACGTGCAGACACGCCAGCCACCCACCCACCCACGGGCCCTGCCAACAGACAGATGCACCCCAATTACTGACATGCACACATCCCCTCTTCATGGGGGGGGCCAGCGTGGAGACCACCCCCTGAGATCTCACACACAGGCACCCCAGAGTCTCTCCGAACAACCCAGATTTGTAGCTCTGAGACACACACCCCAAAACAGATGGAATCTATACCTTCAAGGCCATCATGCCCCACCCACCCACCAATGGGGAAATCAAGATAGGAGCGGGGAAGGGACTTGTCCAAGACTCCCCTGCCACCCGAAAGAAAAGCCACCACCCCCTTTTTGATGGTGTGGCCTCACTCCCCATTCTTTTCCTCTGCTAGGCACCCGGGTCTGGTTGTAGTTACCTCCTCCTTTCCTCTAATTTCCTCTGTCTACTTGGTTACTCAGCCCCTCCTCCTGGCACTAGTCCATCCTCTCCTTCCTATCCACCCCCCCCCCCACCGCCTCCCCGCTCCAACTACTCATTACCTCATGCCTAGAATATATATATATATATATATGTATATATATATATATATATGTAATAGCAATAATCCCAGCACTGGTTTTCCTGCCCCCCCCCCCCGCTTCCATCTCTCCTGCCCACCATCAGAGTCATCTGCCAAAATTCGCATTATGTCACCATGTCGCTCACTTGGGAACACATACAAGCTCCCAATTGCCTACACATTAAAGATAAAACATCTTACCGAAACATCAGAGCCCATTCAGAGTTCAGAACCTACTGCTTCTCCCTCTCCCCCCCCCCCCCCCGGGTGGTGTGTGTGTGTGTGCCACAAACCAAGACTTCCCCTCCCACAAAAAATGTGTGTCTCCTACTGGCCACCAATGATTGTGTACTTGAAACTTACAAACCTATTTTGAATTCTCCACAAAATCCCTTAATTTCACCCTCCCCCCACACACACATCCACGGTAGGGAAACTCTCTCTCCTCCCCTCAGATTCAAGAACCCTTCTTCCAAAGGCAAGACTGCATCCCTAGACCAGACAGGGTCTTTACTGTCCCTTCAAAGCAAGTGCCAGCTGAGCTCTGGCTACTTCCAGGCGGTTGGCTGCCCCCTATGGGCCACCTTGAGAAGCACAGCCAGACTAAAGTCCTGTAACTAGAGTGAGCAGCTAAAACCCCTGGGGTGGGGAATAGAAACGCGCCAGATGACCAGCTTTATAAGCCCTTAAGCCTCTAAGGTTCTTACACCCCTGCTGGGGCCTGGGGTAGGGGTGAGGGGGCTCTCAGCTTTGCTCTGTGAGCCGATGGCTCCCCCCTTGAGCCTAATCTGTTGAGAGGACTCCGGTCCTATGAAATACACTGGGGAGGATTCCAGCACACTACAGAAGGGAAATTGGCCCACCAGCTTCTGAACGGCCTCAAAGCCAGGCACAGGCCAGGTGGCAGGCCCGAGGTCCAGCCCGGGTCAGGTTTCTACATGAATGTTTAATGCATATAGCCAGACCTGTCAGATGTTCCGAAACCTGAGCATCCCTCTCCTTTCATTTCTGCACAAGATGCCCTTTTCCAACCCCCTCCCCCATGTCCAAGGAGGGGGGGAGGGGACAGGAGGGGCAGCCCTGGGGACTGCTCTCCAGTGGCCTCTGGAAAAATGGCTCAAGGGAAAGTATGGGTGAAAGATCTAATTATTCTCCCACTTACTACCTGTGTGACCTTGGACAAGTGACTTGCCTTCTCTGAACATCTGGGTTTGGTTTTTGCTTATTTTGAAAGCTGTAGGCAATTTGGTGCCTGCCAAAAGTACAATAGCCCATAGGAAGAGGGCCTGCATGATTGTCATCATTATCTTTCCTAAAGTCCCGCCTCCCTCCTGTTTTCTTTTTTGATTTGTTTCTGCCATCCCTTCTCAGACCCAAAAGGCCCACCTTGAGATTCCCTCTTAGGGGAGAAGAGAGGTAGGAAAGTGAGTCAGGCTGGTGGAAAAAGAGGGGGAAAATTACGGGGTTCAGGTAGCTCACACCACCTCACTGCTCAGGAGACTGAGATCTGAAGATCATAGTTTGAAGCCCTGGAAGCAAAGACCTGCAGATAATTATCTCCGGTTAACCAGCCAAAAGTTGAAAGTAGAGATGTGGCTCAAGTGGTAGAGTACCAGCCTTGAGAGAGGAAGCCAAGCAAGATTGCAAGGCCCTGAGTTCAAGCTCCAGATTGAGAGGTTGGGGGATGGGAGGGAAAGAGGAGGGGGGCTGAGTGAGGAGTAACGGGGAAGATGGCTCAGAGGGAAACATGCAGATTGAGCCTGGTTACCTGTGTGCGCATGCATGCTTTGAACTGGGCTTGAACTCAGGGTCTGGGTGGCTTTTTCACTCAAGGCTGGTGCTCTACCACTTGAGCCACAGCTCCACTTCTGGCCTTTTTTGTGTGTGTGATTTATCAGAGATGAGAGTCTTGTGGACTTTCCTACCTGGGCTGGTCTTGAGCCTTGATCCTTGATCCTCAGATATTAGAATCCTCCCCAGTAGCCAGGATTATAGGCATGCGCCTCCCAAGATGGGCTTGGCTCCTTCTTTATCTTCTCCTTCCTTCCTCGCACCTTCCCCTGTGCCTGGCACCATCCCACTGGAAATAGAGAGGCTATATTGTGCAGAGGGGGAGCAGGAGGAGCCTTGGGAGGAAGGGGGTTGTGAGAAGTGTCCTCCATTCTTCCAGCCCACCCACCCCTCTCCCAGTTTCTAAATATAAGGGCCTGTGCCATGAATTTAAGTGAGAAGCGGATTCCTGCATCAGGCCCGGGAATCTGCATTTTTAATCAGTGGAGGTGGATCATACACACTTCAAAGTTGGAGAAATACCTCTTCAAAGATGGGGTGATCGTGGGGGGGGGGGTGACAGAAGAAATGCAAAGCAGAAAAGTTCAGCCCCCTTCTTCCCCAGATGAGGGAAGGAGGGGTGTACTTGGTAGAAGTTTCAAAGACCACCCCCCTCCCCCAGAGGTGGCGGCTGGGGTGAGAAGATAGGTCACGGTCAAGGTGAGACTGAAGCGGACACAGACACCTTCAGGGTCTGCACCCCGTCCCTCCTTCGCTCTTTATGGCTCTGACTGGAGATACCCAAGAACCCCCTTCCCCAATGGTTCCCACGCCTCCCACCACACCCCGTTTGTGGGGCGAACCTCTCCTCCCCAGAGACCAGCTGGCCATTCGAGGCAGGAATATGTGGGTGCCTGGCTGTCCCCCCCCCCCCAGCCCGGGGACCTGAGCCCAGGCCAGCAGCACCTTTCTGACCTGACTCCCTCCCCTCCCACCCCCGTCCCCCCCCCCCAGCCCCAGCTCATCTGCATAAAGTTCCAATTAACACCTTTCCCCCTTCGCTATTTGCGATCCCTGAACTCGCTCCCAGCTCGGATCGCGGCCCCAATTAACCCTTACACCTCCGGGGCGGTTCCCGTCGGGGGTGCGGGGGGGGGGGGGGGGGGGGTGCGGGTAGGAACCTCGCAGGGCGAGCGAGGGGCGCGCACCGGGGAGCCCAGGGCCCCACAGGGGAGAGGACCGGTGGGGGGGGAGGGAGGAGTCAAGGGGAGAGGGGGGAGGGGACAGGGGTGCGGGGGGGGGGAGGGGGAGAGGCAGACCTGCCCGCCCACTCCCTTTCCGGGAAGAGATGGGGAGGGGGGCTTCTCCTGGGAGACTCGGGGCGTCGAAATTCCTGGTTCCTCATTCCCCGGCCCCCGCACCCCTCCTCCTCCCCGCCACGCACCCTCTCCCCTCCCCAGCCATCTGTTCCTCTCCGCGGCAGCGCCGCGACAAACACGGCTGCGGCTCGTTTCCGCCCCTGCCCAGCCCCCTGCCAGCCCCCTCCCCAGCCCCGGGGGTGGGAAGTGGTGACACACACACACGCACCCGTCCCGGGAGGCCCACGTGTCACCCCCACCTGCCACCGCGCCCCGAGGCCAGCAGAGCGGGCTTCGGCGGAGTCGAACCCCCACCCTCATCGTTGCACCCACCGGGCAGGCTGGAAAGCTGGGAGCCCCGGGAGGAAGGGGTGGGGTTCGGGGAAGAAGGCCAAAGCCAAGCCTGGGCTTCTGGAGATCGAGGCCGTCCCTGCCGTCCGGGTAGGTAGGGACGTGGAGGTTCCCCCCCCCCAACAACACATACATTACCCCCCGCCCTGCCCCCCCTTGCAGGCTGCGCACCCCGAGTCCAGATTCCAGCTTGGGTCACCCGCAAGCACGCAGCGCCCCCTGCTGGGCGCCCCGGGGGGGAGGGGACTGGGCCCGCGCGCGCAAGCGTGCCCCGCGCTCCCGCGCGCGCCCTGCGGGAGGCGCTGTGGCGGGGGATCCCTTCATCGCTGATGAAGATCCTCCCAAGACAGTTAAGAGCACCAGCAGCCCCAAACAGCCACCATCAGCGAGCCGGACCATCCATCCCGCTTGCTGATGGGTGCTGTCCAAAGCTGAGTCGGAACTGTGTGAAAAGGGCCCTGTTGGAAGTCGAGGGTAGGGGCAGACAGATTCATTGTGGGACTTCCAAGGCCTCTCCGCGGTTTTCTCGTAGGAAAACAACAAAAACAGTAACTTGGGCAGGGTAGTCTGCTTTACTGATTTCTCAATAGCACCTAAGAATGCTGCCTGCTGTTCCTTCACTGAGTAGGAGGCAGTGGGGAGGAAAAATCAGGCCCTTAAGGCCACTTTAGCTCAGAGAGGGCAAGCGAGGAGAAGTAGGAAGAAGCCTGGGGCCTCCTATTCTGCTGGATAGCCCAGCAGAGGCCTCTAACTAGGATCTGGCCTGGGTTGCTTGGCTCCACCACCCACCACTGTGTGCCCTTGGGCTAGTGCCTTAATCTACAGAACAGGACGACACAGAGGCCTTGGGTGTAGCTGGGAGGAAATGAGCACCTGTGTGGAATAAATAGCTTCCCAACAAGCATCCCTTGTCCCTCTTTTCTGATCCCTTAGTCTAGTCAGTAAGTCTCATGCCCCAGGCACAAGCAGGTGCAGGTCTGGCATACAGCAAGATAAAACTACAGAGCACAAATAGGAGTTGCTTCAGCAGGCCCCAGAGTGCATTGGGGCGAAAGTTGACGTCATTTCTTAACATAGTTCTTGTTTGTGTCAACACTAGAACTTGAGCTCAGGCCCTGGGCACTGTCCCTTAGCTATTTCTCTCAGGGCTGGTGCTCTACCATTTGAGCCACGGCACTACTTTCCGGCCTTTTGGTGGTAAATTAGTGATAGTCTCACAGACTTCCCTGCCCAGGCTGGCTGTCTTCAAACCAGATTCTCAAGAGCTCAGCCTCCTGAATAGTAGGATTGTGGTTCTGAACTACTGACATCCTCCTTTGCTTCCTTAACCTTCTTCAAGTATCCAGCCGTGATAACTCACAGGAGAAAGGCCAACTGCTTTATCTACTCCAAATCCTAGGAAACACAGGAGAAAGAGGTCAGGAGTTGAAGATTCCTCCCAGGGACTAATACAGATGGGGTACATGGTTAAAAACAACCACACAGCCATTTCAGAACAGACTGGCACTACTAGCATCTCAGGTAATGCCAACTGAGCCTGGATAAGAAAGAGGGAAGGGGGCAGGACAGGGGGCAGGAAGACACTCCCTGTCCCCACTCTCCCAAGGTTATAAGAACGCACCAGCCAGACTCTTACTTTCCTTCTTTATTTCCTCTAAGACCTGCAGGCAGCAGCGCGAGGGAGGGAACCTGCCCTCCAGACCCTGGAAGGGGCTTGATCCCTTCCCTGTCTCTACCCCATCTGTGACACAGCCAGCCTCTCAGCCCTTTTCTTCTGAGGGGAAGGTTGTCACACGCATGCGAGCTCGGACACAAAGCACTCCTTAGAGCTGGAACCTCAGGACCCATGAGCCCTAGGGAAGCACCAGGAAAAAAAAAATAAAAAGGAGGCCTGCCTGTTCTCGGTCCCTAAGACAAAGTTCTGGAGAATGGGCAGCCTCCAACTCTTGGCTTGCTCCAACCCAAAGAAGGTCCATTCCTGGTAGCACAGAGGCTGTCCTTTGGCAGAAGAGTTGTCTTTCCCTCCACTTTTTTTTTTGTTTTGTTTTGTTTTTGCAGGTCCTTACAAAAATAGAACTTCTCTCGGTATTTATAAATGTACGGCCCCTGGCTTGGCTCACACAGGTAGAAAGTCCTCCGGGGCATTCCCTTTGTGGCTTGCCATCCAGCTCCCTTGGCCTCCAGAGTTTAAGCGGCCACTTTGGGGACACTAAGAGCCTTCTGTGGGTCGGGCCAGTTGGCAGTGACGTGTCTCTGGAGCTGGGCACGGTAATAGAAGAGGTAGGCAGGTAGCAGGAATCCCAGAAAGGAGAGTGCTAGGAGGCCCATGTTGACCTTCAGGATGAGGAAAGACAAACAAAGTAAAAAAAAAATCAGACACTGGTTTGTCCTTATTCTCCTAAGAGACTCTCGGAGTCTAAGACTCCAACACAGTCTAAGACTCCACATGGGCTGTGGCTCCAGCCCTGGGCTACAGCTAGTCATCAGTGGACACAATCATGTTCCACCAGCATCCTGGCAAAGCAGCTGAGATAGGAAGATGGGGGGGGGGGCGCGGTGAGGGGTGTCTAGCAAACAGCAGCACCTAGTTGGTGCCCATACTACATGGTACTCTCCGGTTGGACAGAAGGAAGGTGATGGTATATTGTGCATGTCCGGGCTGGGCAGGCTGCCTTTCAGATGGGACTTGCAGGTCTGGCAGATGCCAGCCAGTGGGCTCCCATTCAAGGGGGGCCTGCTGAGGCACGGACAAATGACCTGAAGGACAGACAGCCAATGAAACCCAGGGGTAGTGGCCCTCAGGGGCTCAACTGGTTCATATTCCATTCTCCATGACTCAGTGTGACTCTGGGTAATGAATCTGAACACTAAGTGCCTCCTTCTTGTGGTTACGGTGGCAAAGATTAAGTTCTTTTGAGTTTTTTGGTTTTCTTTCTTGTTTGTTTTTTAAGATACACAGAAGGCTTGGCATACATCAGCTGTCCAGCGAGCAGGAGCAGTTAATTCATCACAGTTCTTGTGGGAGGCTTGTGGTGTGGGAGGCCCCACAGGGTAGAAAGATCAATGTCAGGGAGACAGACGACAGCTCAATGCAAGGAAAAGCCTCCCATAATAATGGCACTGCCTTGTGAGGAATGGAGCCCTGCTACATGAAGAGGAAACTTCTGGCAGTGCTGGAGAGAGAGGGTGCCTTCACCCTAGATGTGGAGGTCAGGAGCTCTTGAACCCAAACTTGAGGATCAAGACAGCACCAGTGCACAGTATCCTTAAAAACAGACCCCACTGGACACTCACAGTGGCTCCAACCTGTAGTCCTAGCTACTCAAGAGGCCCAGGGGTTTTCTGAGGTACAGCCATCTTGGGAACCCTCAGATTAAGGAGTTCAGAGGTGTCTCCTGGCTGGCATAAGGGGAGTGAGGGGTTCTATTACATACAAGTCCCGACTCCTGACTCTCCTCCCACTACACCCAGGAAAGTAGCTCCTGTTCCCCCAACACCAAGCGAGACTCTTACCCAGAAGGGCTCTCCACGCAAGGGCCCCACCATGGCCATGAAGAGTGGCTGCTGGAGCAGAGCAAACACAGCGCTGATGAGCGACTGCAGGCCTGTCAGCGTCCCAAAATGATTGGATGGGAACCTGTCCAAACAGGGGAAGCTCAGGTCAAGGACATGTGTGATTCGCTCAGGCCCAGAACCCCTCCGTCCCCCCCAGCCTGCCCGCTGACTGCACTGGCCAGGCAGGTGCTTAGAGTTCAGGTTTACCATATGCTCTTGGATCCCTGAACTTGAGACCCTGAACTTATGGGGCTAGCAAGCTGGGTTCTGAGACACACTCACTGTGTGATAATAATATGTAGCTCAACTTCTCTGGGCCTCACTTTCTTCATTAATTGTGGGAACAACACCAACCCCACTGGGCTGTGTTCGCTTTCTATGTATCAGGCAGTGTTTGAGGTACTGGGGATAAAGCAATGAGTGAAATGATACCTTGTAGATGTGACATCTGGCCAAGCACTTATAACCCTAGCTCCTCAGGAGGCTCATGGTTCAAAAGCCAGTCTGAGCAGGAAAGTCCATGAGACTTTTATCTCCAATTAACCAGCAAAAAGCTAAAAGTGGAGGTATGGCTCAAGTAGTAGAGTTCCATATTTAAATAAAAAGCTAAGGGACAGTGCTCAGGCCCTGAGTACAAGTCCCAATACACATGCGCACGCGCACGCACACACACACATATACACACAGAGCTGGCATTTGGTCAAGAACAGGTGGCGATCGGACAAGAAGCAAGATAAATACGTAGTGGTAGGGCTTAGAGCTAAAGAGAAAACCAAAGCAGGAGGTACAAGGGACCAAAGGCATTACAAAAATAGGTAAGCTGGCCAGAAAAGGCCTCACCAAGAAGATGACAGCTAGGGAAAGACCTAGAGAAGGTGAAACTGGTAGTCTTCTAGAATCCAGAAGAATAGAGGGAAAAAAAGAGACCAGCAAGCGCAAAGGCCCTGAGCAGAGAACATGCTTGAGTTTCCAGTGCCGAAAGTGGCTATTGCAGCTTAAAGCAAGGGAAGGAAGAGAAAAGTAGAGGGTAAGGAAGCAAGCAGAAAGGTCCTGGGAGCCAGATCTTCAGGGCCTTTGGAGCTGTAATAAAGTCTCTGGAGTCTGCTCAGTGAGAGAAGATAGGAAGCCACTGAGTAATGTGAAAAGGCTGGTAGCCCAGCCCCTGTTTAAAAGAGACTTGAGGGCAGGGCTGGGGATGAAGCTCAGTGGCAGGGCGCTTGCCTGACATGCATGAGGCTGGGGGTTGGATCCCAGCATTGAAAGAAATAGTCAGGGAGGCAAAGGCAGACTTGAGAAGACCATTTGGTGGCCACTGTCATGACCCCATGGAGAGGCAAGGACAGCCTGAAGCCTGGTTGCAGAGAAACAAAAGTCCAGGAGGAGTGAGAGGTGGGCTGAGAGAGGTGCAGAGTCTGCAGAGTCAGCAGGACCGCATGTGGGGCGAGAGCAGAGAAGGATCCAGGCTACTGCAAGCCAGAGAAGGAAGAGAATCGGAGCAGGCGCCCTCTGTCAGGCCAGCAATGGCATTTAAACCAGGCCAGAGGCCCTGGACAGTAGTTTGCCTCTTCTCCCGGCCACTGTAATGGCCTTGATTATCTCTCACCCACGCAAGGGGAGTCCCTCAACAGTGCCTGGCAGTGGAAAGTGGAAAAGAGCATGGGGGAAGGGAGGCGCGGGGAGGTGCACAGCTGCTGTTGTGAGAGGCAGGACAGGCAGTAGACCCCGAAGGGCTCCGGGCTGGCCTGTGAGGCAAGGGAGCTCCAGATCGTTAGAAGAGCTCTTGAGCAGGGCAGGGAGCAGCCAGCTCCCCAGGTCCCCACCAGCAATAAGGTGGCTGGCTGCATTAAGGGACACTACCCAGGGCACCTTCCAGTGCCTTCAGCTGTGCTCTGGGGATGGTGGAGGGGGGGAACAACGCTCAGGAAGGTTGGCTTAGCTTAAGTGGCTCACACAGCAGCGTAGAGGCCCCCACAGGCCGAATGGAAGAAACCTCGCACCATGGTGTGCAGGACAAAGGTCACCAACTGAAACCAAAGAGAAGGAAGAGATTAAAGAGAGGGAAGGAGGGAAGAGTGGGCAGGCAAAAGAGGAACAAGGGCCTCACTGGACCATCTACTCGTTCCTAGTCCCACCTTGACCCACCCACCCACCCAATCAACTCCAGTTACTTCCTGGAAGAACCCGGATGTAGAAGAGAACCAGGCTTCTTCCTGAAGGCAGGCCCTGGAGACCTGGGATTGGGGAGGGGAGGAGGGGGAAATCGGGGAGGAAGAGTAGGTACCTGGAGGTGTAAGTTGTTGATGAGGCAAGTGATGCCAAAACCCACCAGCAAAAGGTTGGTCAGGGTGAAGGCGTTGATGGCATTGGTTAACTTTTGGATCTTGCTGTAGCGTGGTCTGGTCGACTTGGTCTGGTCTCCATCCCTGAGGAGAACAGGCAGTCACTGGCCACTGCCTCTACCTCCCTAATTCCCAGTCGGGCCCCAACTCTTGCCAATGTGCAGGACAACCATTTCTCCAAGATTCTCAGTCCTCTGTGGGAGGAACCCACACCGCAAGAGCCGAAGCACTTCACACACACACACACACACACACACACACACACACACACACACACACACACACACACACAGTTTGAGGAGTAAGGATGGGGAAAGCCTGGATGAAAATGAAAGCAGATACCATTCTAGGAAGGTCATGGCCCCTGACTACCCAGCAGGCTCCTCTTTCTGGCATGATCTGGCTGAGGCCAGCCGAGGAGAGAGGGCAGTAGGCTGGGGAAAGGGCAGTCTGTTTACCTATCCCAAACAAATGAGTGCGATGAATGGACCCTGGCAAAGGGGAGCAGAGGGTAAAGGGAAGTGGGGGAGGGGAGGGAGAGAATTTGGGGCACTACAGGGCAGAGAAGGAAACTACTGGGTTATTCTCAAGATGCCTTCTCTACCTCTCATCCTCTCAGGACAAAGGGGAATGGTTTGGACTCTCTCTCTCTCTCTCTCTCTCTCTCACACACACACACACATACACACAGGAGTCAAGGCCTGAGTCCAAGACCTAACGGAGACCTTCAGCCAATAAGACAGCTCCAGTGATCCTTGGCCCTTCCTTCAGTACCAACCTTAAAGAACTGATAGAAGATGACAAAAATGATATTTTGCTACTCCTACGATTAGCCCTCATTGCCTTACTCATGTAACTGTAACCTTTCTGTACAGCGTCTTTACAATAAAATTAAATAAATAAATTGAAAACAGAGGGAAAGATTAGCTTGCTCTCAGAGAAGCCAGCTGCTATTTTGAGAGTGGGCTGAGAGAGGGCGTGGGGATCTGGATCCCTGTCCGCAGCTCCACACACTGAACTGGAAGCCATCTCCAAGCCCAGACAGTACTTCAGAGGAAGCTCCCTTATGAGACACCCTGAGTAAGAACCACCACACCTAAGTCATCCCCAGCTCTTGTCAACCACATGATAAATGTTAGTGAAATATGGGGTGATGTGCTACACAGCAAAAAATATGTAATAGAGCCAGATGCTGGTGGCTCACACCTGTAATCTTACTCAAGAGGCTGAGATCTGAAGATCACAGTCTGAAGCCAGTCTGGGCAGTAAAGTCCATGAGTCTCTTATCTCCAATTAACCACTAGAAAACTGGAAGTGGATCTGTGGCTCAAGTAGTAGTGCGCTAGCCTTGAGCAAAAGAGCTCAGGGACAATGCTCAGGCCCTGAGTTCAAGCCCCACAGCAGAGTAAAAAAAAAAAAAATTCTATCACAGGTTGCTGGTGGCTCATGCCTATAATCCTAGCTATTCAAGAGGCTGACAACTAAGGATCATGGTTCCAAGTTATCCCAGGCAGGAAAGTCTGTGAGACTCTTATCTCCAATAAACTACTTGGAAAAAGCGGGAAGTGGCACAGTGGCTCAAGCGGTAGAGCACTAGCAAACCTTGAGCCCAAAGAGGCCCAGGCCCTGGATTCAAGCCCCAGGGCTGGCTAAATGAATAAATAAAGAACCAATTCTTCCTCCCTCTTGCCTTAAGAAAGCTTTAGAGTGTATCCTCTTTGACATGGATTCTGGAACCTGCCATGTGATCTTGGGCAAGTCACTTCACTCTATAACCCCGGGTCTCAACCTCCTCATCTGCCAAGAGAGGGCAATCGTGTATCTGCATTAGAGAGCTGCTGTGGGAAGCTGGAGGTGTGGCTTGAGTGGTAGAGCTCCAGCCTTGAGTGAAAAAGCCAACCAACAGCGCAAGGCCCTGAGTTCAAGCCCCAGTACTGACATCCAAAAGAGAAGTTTCCTACTTAGGTTGGCTCAGCCAACGCGCAATGTCAGCTATGCTTCTTGGCAAACAAGCCATGCTTCTTCCAGCTTCAATTTCCTCATCTTGTCATACAAGGTGGGGGGGGAGGGTGTACTTCTACCCCCAAGGTTCTCAGGACAATGACATGAGATGTTATGTGTCCACGTACAGAAAGCCTGAAAGGATCTGACCACTTGCTAGCACCATCCATCCCTGTGTGGGTCACCTGGCATCTCCAAGGGCAGCGCCCTCGGCTGGGGAATCCACACAGTCCTTGATCCGCCAGTCCATGATGTAGCCGATGAGGGGGCAGGTGAGCAGGCACAACAGCTGCATGGCCCCAAAGACTGAGGAGTAGAACCCGACTGGGCAGGAAGGGAAGTGGGGTCAGGAGGCTAGCAGACCAGTGGGCACTGCCACCCGCTTCCAGCAGAGGACAGAGAGCTTCAAATCACCTCCCGGCGACCCACATTCTTAGATACGATCGGAGCTACCAGAGTGGGCCCAGCCCCTGAAGGATGGACAGTGACATGGTGGGTACAAGCCAGGGCCCTGCTTCCTTCTCCCTACCTGTGTCTGCCACCTTTTGTCTCATTTCATTGGTCTCTGTGGGCAAAGGAGAGACATGGTGAGGGGAGATCAATCAAGTAGCCAGCCTGGAACCCCCCCACTCCAGGGTCCCAGCAGAGGCTCACCAGGCTGCTGGCCACCTGTGATGAGATACTCCAGCATTTTGTTCATGGCGGCCATATAGAAGATCACCCGCAACTGGGTCATGCCCATGGTGAGGAGGCTCCACAGGAAAATAGGGGAGCAGAGGCTCTTGCGGAAGGGCACAGACCCTGGGGAGACAGTGGGAGGCGGGGAGAGGTGCTACTGAATCCTCAAGCCTTCTTGTTCCCCTTTTTCCCCCCCTGCCATCGGTGGTAGAGCTTGAACTCAGGGCCTGGGTACTGTCCCTGAGCTTTTTTGTTCAAGGCTAGCACTCTACCACTTGGAGCCACAGGGCCACTTCCTGTTTTCTGGTGGTTAATTGGAGAGATAAGAGTCTCACGAGACCTTTTCTGCCTGGGCTGGCTTCAAACTGTGATCCTTAGACCTCAGCCTCCTGAATAGCTAGGATTACAGGTGTGAGCCACCAGTACCTGGCTTGACCACATTTTAAAGGTGAGGGAACTAGAGCTGAGAAAGAGGACTACCTGGTCTGTGCTCACATGGCTTGGAAGCGGCAGGTGGGCCTGACTGGGGCTCCTGTGGGGATAGGCTGGACTGGAGCTTCCATGACCATGATATCAACGAACCTTCCCAGTGGATATGTATGATAAGCTCTAGTTTAATTTTGAGTAGTGCTGTTAATCTAGTTTAAGAGATGAAGAAGGTTTCCCAGGCCCCAGTGGCTCATGTCTGGATTCCTAGCAACTCAGGAGGCTGAGGATTTGAAGATGATGGTTCAAAGCCAGCCCTGGAAAAGCCCGTGGGACTCTGATCTCCAATTAACTACCAAGTGGAGCTATTGCTCAAATGGTAGAGTGCACAAAAGCCCAGGGACAGTGCCTGGGCCCTGAGGTCAAGTCCCAGGACCAGCACAAAGTGTGTGGTGAGGGGGAGAGAAGGAAGAGGGAGGGAGAGAGGAGAAAGAGGGTTTACCAGGCACCAGTGGCTCATACCTGTAATCTTAGCTACTCAGGAGACTGAGATTTGAGGAACTATAGCCAGCCCAGGCAGGAAAGTCTTTGAGACTCTTAAATTAACAAGCAAAAAAGCCAGAAGTGGAACTGTGGCTCAAGTGGTAGGGCAAAAAAAGTTAAGGAACCTCATCCAGGCTCTGAGTTCAAGCCCTAGTACTAATATAAGGAGAGAGGGGAGAAGGGTGGAGGAAGGTGAAAACAAAGGCATACTTGAGAAGCAGGACTCAAACTCCATCTTCTCACTCAAAAGCCTGTGAGGCTTCCCCTGATCAAGAAGCCAATCAAGAAGCTAGGAAAGTGGCTTAGTGGTAGAGTGCTTGCCTCGCATGCATGAAGCCCTGGGTTCCATTCCTCAGTACCACGTACACAGAAAAAGCCAGACGTGGCGCTGTGGCTCAAGTGGTAGCATGCTAGCTTTGAGCAACAAGAAGCTCAGGGACAGTGCCCAGGCCCTGAGTTCAAGCACTAGGACTGGCAAAACAAACAAACAAACAGAAAGCTGACCAGTCCTGGGCTCAGCAGTCCCGTGAGAAGTGGTTTAGCAGGTAGACGCAGACTGTCCTGAAGCCAGCATGGGCAAAGGTCAGCCAGGTGTTGGAAGGCCCAGCCTGCAGGTTCTCTGAACTAGCTTGTGTCTGATGCAACAGGTTTGGAGTTTGCCCTGCAGGCCAGCGACCCTGCCCCATGATGGAAGCTTCTTCTACCCTTTACCAAAGGAGCCCTGTAGAATATTCCTGAATTTGAACTTTCCAGAGTTGTGTGCACACTGACTTTTCTATCTGCAAGTAAGTGGCAGCTATGCTCCAATTGCACATGGGAGTATTGTGTGGACTGAGCTGAGTAAGAATGGACCCGCCCTAAGTCCCCCAGACTGAAACCTTGACCAGATACTCACTCTCTGGAAGGTGTTCTGAGGTGCTACGAACATCCTGGGAGGAGATGAAGGTGTCAGCCCCTTCTTCCAGGCTTGGGGCCTTCTGGCTCAGGCGTTGACCCACAATGTTCACGTGAGCATAGAAGCGGTCTCCTGTGACCTTGTGGTCCAAGGCCAAGCCAATGAGCTTGATCTTCTTCCTGCCGGGAGTCAGGTCACATCATGTGCCAATGAGCCAGGAGGACACCCAACTCCAACCTCTCAGCTGTCATCCTACATCTTTTTACTGGACATTGACATGGTCTATAAGCTCCTCAGGATGGGGAGAAGAACACAGGCACCCAGTAAATGGAAGGACAGGTAAGTTGTTTCACTTGATCTGTTCCCATCAAAAAGCCAGCATCCCTGGGCACCTGTGGCTCGTGCCTATATAATCCTAGCTACTCAGGAGGCTGAAATCTGAGGATCACAGTTCGAAGCCAGCCCGGGCAGAAAAGTCCTCATGAGACTCTAAACTCCAATTAACCACTCAAAAAACAGAAGTGGAGCGGTGGTCAAAGTAGTAGAGCACTAACCGTGAGCAAAAGAGCTCAAGGACAGCACCCAGGCCAAGAGTTCCAGCCCCAGGACCAGCAAAAAAAAAAAAAAAGCCAGCCTCAAGAATTGAGACTAGCAGTGGTTTACACCTGTAAGCCTGGCTACTCAGGAGTTGGAAATCAGGAAGGCTGTGGCTTGAGCGAGCCCATCTGAATAACAACAAAACAAGCTGGCACCCCATCTGTCACCCCAACTACAAGAAGCATAAAGTAGGACTGCAGTCCAGGTTAGGTCAGCCTGGGAAAGAAGGGCAAAACATTATCTGACAAGTCAAGCAGAAGGGGCTGGTGGCATGGCTCAGGTAGTGGAACACCTGTATAGTAAGCACAAAGCCCTGAGTAAGTCTGACAGCATCAAAACAATAAACAAAAATAATTCAGAGGCTGTGTCACTCAGAGTCAATGGTAAGACTTTCAGAAAGTAACTGTTCTCTGTACTATTTTTTTTAACTTTTTTTTTTTTTTTTTGGTGCCAGTCCTGGGGCTTGAACTCAGAGCCTGGGCACTGTCCCTGAGCTTTTGTGCTCAAGGCTAGTGCTCTACCACTTTTGAGATACAGCACCATTTCTGGCTTTTTGGTGGTTATTTGGAGATCAGAGTCTTACGGACTTTCCTGCCCAGACTGGCTTCAATCTCAGCTGTCTGAGTAGCTAGGATTATAGGCATGAGCCACCAACACTCAACCCTCTATACTTTTTTTCATGAATCGAGTTAACCACTACATCATACAGCTATTTGAAAATTGTGTTGGCATATAGTAGGTGCCCAATAAATGTCAACTGTATGACCACCAGCCTCTGTGCTTGGTCTAGGATCATCAGCCCCAGCCATGCTGCACAGAAATGAGGTAAGAAAGGCTGGGATGAAGAGAAACCACGACACTGTCCAGAAAGAAATATACTTTTACCTGAATTATGTAACTGCAATCCCTCTGTACATCACCTTTATAATAACAATAATTTTTTTTAAAGAATTGGAGTTTAGGTTGCACCATAAGTTAGCATGTTTGGTTCCTTTGCATCCTACCTCTGGGGGCTACATGGCAGCTAATGCTCTTGCCAAGGCACCTCCTACATGGATCACCCTCTCCCAAACTAGAAAGGACAATAATAGCCACCATATCCTGACCACCTGTTACGTGCCAGCTCATTATTCAGAAACACCTGTGATCAGGTCGGGGAACCAGGTCCACCAAAGAGAGATGAGAAAGCAGAGCTGGGAGTTCTGTGAGGATGTGCACAGCTCAGCTCCAAGGCCAGGTCCCATTCCAAAGCTGAATCCATGTCTCAACATTACATCCTTCGGCCTCACTCTCTGAAGCACAGGGAGACTCTATTCCCATCCAACACTCCCCACCCCCCACCCAGCCCCAGCACTCACGTGTAGTCGACTTCCTCCGGGGCTGGAAAAGCTTCCGTGGGCCAGTTGAGGGCGCAGTTCAGAAAGATAAGGCAGGCCAGGCCAGACCAAGTGAACATGATGACCATGAAAGGCACTCCAGCATCATAGATGAGCTGGGGGGTTGGGGGGAAGGGGGAGGAGAGCCCAGGCCTTAGATGCCATCACAGAAAGACCCAGAAAGCCCACCACTCCCCTCCCTCTCCCACCAGGCTATGCTAAAACAGTGTGGCATGGTCTCCACAATGTGTGCCGGGTGCCCACTCCATGGCTTGCAAATCTCAGCTATCACCTCAAAAAGGTGCACACCTTTGAACTATGAGTCCATAGACCCTTTAGTGGGTGCTTATTTTCCACATGCTGTACAAAGGAAAATTAATGCTCTGGGTTCACCTGCCCCCCCTTGCTGATAGGATTCTGCAGGAAAGACAAAACTGAGTCTAAGCAGTCTTCTCTCATCTTTTTTTTTTTTTTTTTTTTTTAGGCACTCCCAGAAAGGGGTAAGGTGTACAAAGCTTTTTAACTCCAGGCAGAATAAGTTCTGAACAGACTGGGTTTCAGGGCAAGCGTGTGAACCTCTCAGACGGGAGAGGCTCAGGAACCGATGTCAATTCTCTTGCCCTGCCCCCAACACGCTCTGCCTGGGTGACCCAAGCTGGCTGATGTCTGCTTTCTTGTCAGGACCCTGCTCAGACCTCCAGTCACTGCTATGAGAAACCTTGCTCTTCTTTGACCTTGGGATCTAGGGGTTCTATCCTTCTTAGGAATAAGGCAGAGCTGTACAGAACCACACCCCGCCAGAGTGTGGGGCTCGGAACTGGCTCCTCAGCCTATGCAGGCATACTCTCAAACCCCTTTGAGGAAGCTGAACAAAAGTGCTCTTGAGTCTAACAAATTAACTGCCCAGGCTAGCGTCTGAGGGGTGATGTGTCATGACTCAAGTCAAAAGAGAGCTTTTATTGTGTGCCAGCACTGGGACTTGAACTCAGGGCCACGGTGTTCTCCCTTATCTTTTTCATTCAAGGCTAGCACTTTGCCACTTGAGCCACAGCTCTGCTTCTGGATTTTTGCTGGCTAATTGGAGAAAAGAGTCTCACAGACTTTTCTGCCTGGGCTGGCTTCGAACCATAATCATCAGATCTTGGCCTCTTTCAGGAGCTAAGATTAAAGGCATGAGCCACCAGCATTAGGCTAAAAGATCTGCTTTGATATCATCTGATAAAGGGAAAAATAGGCCTGTAGCTTGCTCTGAGCGTTCCCATATCTGCCAAGCTCTGGTCTGTTCATGATCTATTCTGGTATAGATTCAATGTATGACCTTGGACCAAGTCACCCAGCCTCTTAGAAGGGAGATAAGACCCTGCTTGGGGTCAGAGTCAAGGACCTGGAATGCCTGGAAATGAAGATCTTCAACAAGTCTGTGAGCTAGTGGTCCATCTGAGATAATTCTGAAACTTCTGTGAGTGCAGATTGGAGGGAGAATAGATTAGAGCAGGTAAGGCCAGAAGAGAATGCCCAGTCTGGCCCAGCAGAGAGAAGGAAAGCCTGCATCCAGACGGTGGCAAATGGAGGAAAGTGATTCAGTCAGACTCATAAAGCATCTTCCCATGCCATGAGGCTTCAGGGCTTTCTTTTTTTTCTTTGTTTTTGGGGGGGTCCGGTCGTGGGGCCTGAACTCTGGGCCTGGGCGCTGTCCCTCAACTCTTCAGTTCAAGGTTAGAGCTCTACCACTGGAGCCACAGCGCCACTTCCGGCTTTTTTCTTTTTGCTTATGTGGTGCTGGGGAATTGAACCCAGGGCCTCATGTATGCAAGGCAAGCGCTCTACCACTGAGCCACCTTCCCAGCCCAGGGCTTTCTTTTATAAGGGCAGGAATTGACCTCTCTCTAATGGGCAGGAACTAGGTCACTTGACATAAAACCCATCCCCCTCTCAGCCCCACCCACTTCTCATGTCAAGGCAAAAGGAAAACCCAGGTGACTCCCCCCCCCCCCCCCCCCCCCCCCCCCCCCCCCCCCCCCCGTGGCCCTGTAAGAAGCTCATACCTTGATTCCTGGGAATGTGATGGCAGAAGAGGCGTAGGAACCAATCATGAGGGCCATGAAGGTAGACCGCAAGTTCCCAAACATGTTGGGCAGCTGAGGGAGGAAAGCAGTGCCGGTGAGTGTGAGCAGGGCACATCTTGACATCTCCCCTTTCTCAGAGTCTGAGAAAGCTTGGAGACTCCAACCTGGCAGGCACCAACCAAGGATAGCCCCAGGAGATACAAGAGAAAAGCTTCCAAGCAAAACCAACATGGGAAACGGCATTCTGACCCCCTGTGACACACTCGCAGTGGCCTTCAAGCCCCTACATGGTTTCCAGACGTGCCTTCAAAGAGAAGCCTTGTTCACTCTTTAATCCTGGGGCTGGCCCCCAAGTTTGTTAGTTATTGTGTGATACCCCTCAATTCCTCATGAGGCAGGGGTTAAGAAATATGAGTATGTTCGGACTCGTTTCAGAGATGAGAAGATTCCAGCTGCAAGGGAAGGAAATGGACTCAAGTTCATGCTGCTCTGGTCACCAGGGCCTTACCGAGGCTCTGCCAGTAGCTGGACCCTGTAGTACCCAATGCCTGTGCACACTCCGTGGTTCCGAACACTCCAGCCCCCAGTTTCTACTGAGCCAGGACAAATCAAGGGGTGGTATGGGAGGTAAGGGTGAGACCAAATGGGCAGAAGCAAGCCAGAAATCCTATCAGTAAGGAATTGATTATATTCTCCCCCTCCCCCACTCCCCTGAAGTGGACCCAGGAAAGACGTGAGGCCAAGTTTGCCCCTACTCAGGCAGAGCTGGCATGCTTTTATCTGTGAGGCACACTGCCAAGAACACAGAGGAGGGTGCCAGGGCTGGGACACCTGCCCCCCAAGAGTCCGGAGGCACTGCTCAGCCAGGTACATAGAGAGGGCAAGGTCGGCCTAGCTAACTATGGACCGAGAGAGCGTGTGAGAAATACCAGGCTTCAACAGCTGGTGGGCAACCCAGGAGGACATCTTGCCTGGGGGGCGGGGCCAGCCGGCCTGGAGGGGGTGGCACTGAGGAGGGGTGGGGCAGGCTTCCAGCATTTCCATTGGCTAGCATTGCAGGGGAGGAGACGCCCACTGAGCATGCAGTGTGGACCTCCCCATTGGCTGGCCCGGGCAGGGTTGAGGTCAAGCCTCTGGCCTCAGCCCTAGGGAAAAGGGATTTATTGACCTGAACCAAATTGCATAGCAGGAAGGGGCTGTGGGTGAGTAGGAAAGGATTAGCTTCCTTGATTGTTGTGAAATGTCCCCAGCTGGAATTAAAGGTGTCTGCCTGGGGTGAGGAGAAATTCAGCCAACAAACACGCGGTTTGGCTATATCTGAGATAAACAACCAGAGGAGGCCAGCAGAAGCCTTCCCTTCCCCCACCCCCACCCCACTTACTGTTCTAAGCCTTTAGTCTCATCCTCACACACACGTGCTTAGACAAACACACATACACAACTCACACATTGTAACAGGTCGAGCCAGGGGAACACACCCAGTTTGTGCGTCAAACACAGCCAAGGGCCGGCAACTTCACATAGTTCAGCTTCATAGATACATCCCATCCACCTGAGTCCTCTCACATGGACAGCACCTGCCCCTCCCACAGACAGACAGACAGACAGACAGACTCGATCCCTCCCTCCTACAATGTGTCAAAGGCCTACACATCTTGGGCTGCTTCCATCCCCCTCACGATCCTATTACCCAGTTTAAATCTCTTCCCAGGACTTATGACCACTGGCACACTTTCTTTTTTTTTTTTTTTTTGGGGTCCGGTTGTGGGGCCTGAACTCTGGGCGCTGTCCCTCAGCTCTTCAGCTCAAGGCTAGCGCTCTACCACTTGAGCCACAGCGCCGCTTCCGGCTTTTTTCTTTTTGCTTATGTGGTGCTGAGGAATCGAACCCAGGGCCTCTGGCATGCAAGGCAAGCGCTCTACCACTGAGCCAACTTCCCAGCCCCTGGCACACTTTCTTAGTTTACTTGCTCAAGGGTGGGCTCCTGGTTCTCTTCTGGGAGCCCTTGTTGAGTGAAGACACAGTGCTGCTTGTCCCCTAGTCCCCGTGCTCCACATAGACACAAGGCCCCACCCCCATCTTCAGCACCACCTGCAGTTCACACACACACACACACACACACACACACACACACACACACACACACACACTCACCTTTAGCTCCACCCTATTCCCATAGGCCCTACTGCCACACTCACAGTGAGCGAAGTGAAGGTCAGGCAGATACCAGCAAACCCATTCAGAGACAGCGCCAGGAATATCAATGGCGACAGAACTAGAAAGGGAGAGAGAAGGGCAGGTGAGGGAGCTCTAAGTGGTCAAGGGCAGGAACTAGTGGGAAATAGCCTGCCCCTCCCCACACACACCCTTGCTGTGGAGCCACAAGAGGCCAGTTTGCTCACTCACCTTGAGGGTCCCAAGAAGCCAAGGCTATGAGGGTACAGGATGCTGCGAAGCAGGCACTGTGGGGACACAAGGTGGGGGGAGTGGGGGGGGGACAGGCTTGACCTGTGAGCCTCCTCTCCCCGCAGCCCCCTCCCCAGTCCTCTGCTCACACCGGCACAGTCACCTCACCTGCCCACCAGTCGAAGGGGCCGGGGGCCAAAGCGGTCCATGAGGATGCCCAGGGGCAGGGTGGTGGCGCTGAGCAGGAAGGAGCCGATGGTAAAGCCCACGTTGAGCATCTCATCCTGCTGGCGGCAGCTTGGCCACTGGCGCTGCTCCTCCTGGGTGCTGTTGGTTGTGTTCTCAGCTGCAAAAGGGGAAGGGAGACTTAAGACAAGAGAGAAGAGCCTAGTGGTAGAGACCTTGCCTAGCATACATGAAGCCCTGGGTTCAATTCCTCAGAACTACACACACACACACACACAATACAAAGTGGTGCTGTGGCTCAAGTGGTCAAGCACTAGCCTTGAGCTAAAGAGCTCAGGGACAGTGCCCAGGCCTTGTGTTGAAGCCCCTGGAGCAGCACCAAAAAATAAACGAATAAATAGCAAAAATCAGCGAATGGTAACAAGATTTCACTTCAAAGGCAAAGGTAGTTTTCCCAACAAGCAACATTCTGCTAAATAATACTAGTTAGTATTTAATGACCGTGTCATTATGTTCCAGGCAGTTCTAAATAGTCCCTGTATTAACTCACAACAGCCCTGTGAGCCAGCTAAGCTGATAAAGTACCCCATCCTCCAGATTATGAAGCTGAGGTTCTGCCTTCCAGACCTTTCAGAAGGTCGGAGATTTCCTCTTCTAGGTGCCCTGCGACCTGGATTTGCAGCAAACCATCAGAAGGACTGGCAATGTAGAACCCAGTGCATTCTGAGTCAAGAGGCAGCTGCCCCCGCCCCCAATTTGTGACTAAGGCAAACAGGACACTCCTAGGGAGACAGGCAAGGCCATTCCCACTCCAGCCTGAATAACTAAAACTCTGGACCAGAACTTCTTGGCTTTGAGCCTCAGAGCCAAACTATCTGATAAATACAATCAGGGACTGAAGGCCTAAGCCACAGGCTTAGGAAGAGGCCTCACTGGAGACAGAAAACAGAACACTTCACACTTGTCGTGGCCCACGGGAAGTTCTCCTGATATCATTGGCAAATGGGCAGAAGAGCAGAGACTCTGGAGGCTGCCGATTCCACAGTAAGACAGGGAGCTCTCAGCTCTCCACGGCTTACAGGAGATGACAGGACACAAAGGGATGTTGATATTGTTCATGTGTATGTGTGTGCCAGTACTGAGACTTGAACTCAGGGCCTTGGGCTCACTTGGATTTCTCCCTCAGGCTAGTGCTCTACTATTTGAGCCATACTTCCACTTCTGGCACTTTTTTTTTTTTTGCTGGTTAATTAGAGATAAAAGTCTCTCAGATTGGTCTGCCCAAGCTGGCTTGAATTCGGAATCCTCAGAGCTCAGACTCCTAAGTAGTTAGGATTACAGGCATGAGCCATCAATGCCCAGCCTGGAGGCTGACTTAAATTGCTAGGTGCTACAAAGAAGAGAACAAACAGAAGGAGATGCCTTAGTGCCTGCGTGCTGGGAAGAAAGATGTCAATGACCCCTGACTACAGATAACCTCAGGAAACCAAAGGGCAGGCAGGCATGCTAGGTAATTGGATCTGTGTGTTAACACCAGAAAGAACATGAAGACCTGTCAGATGATGAGTGCAGGCCACCCAGGGAAGGGACAGGTGCCAGCTACCCGGGAGGCTGGGGAAAGGCTTGAGGCACCTGGGAGGAAGTGGTTAGGGGGTTAGATCACACAGCTTTTGGGGTTCACACTAGTCCTCTAATTGAGCAACCTTTATGATCATTGTTTATTCCTCCACCAGGGACACCCATTTCCTGGACATCTACAATATGGCACAAATGGTAAAATAAGAAATGGGAGGATAATAATTCATGTTCTGCTTGGCTAACAGGGTTGGCTCTTGGAGTGTTAGAAACTGTAATTTAGGTGCCATTTTAAAATCAGGAGTTAGGACATTACCAAAAAAAAAAAAAAATCCAGATTTCTGGTTTATTCAAACGTTGAAAGAGGACTGGGAAGGTGGCTCAGTGGTACAGTGCTTGCCTTGCATGCATGAGGTTCTGGGTTCAATTCCTCAGCACCCCATAAGCAGAACAAAGCCGAAAGTGGCGCTGTGGCTCAAGGGATAGAGCGCTAGCCTTGACTGAAGAGCTGAGCAACAGAGGCCCAGAGTTCAGTCCCATGACCACCACCAACAACAAAAAAAAGTTGAAAGATGAGCCAGACACAATGGCTCACACCTAGCTATTTGGGAGGTAGATATTGAAGGATGACAGTTCAAGGCTTTTGATTTGAAAGGGGGGGGAAAAAAAGCTCATGAGACTCCATCTCAACCAATGGCTGAGTGAGGTGGTTCACACACCTGTCACCCCAATAACACACGGAAGTGTAAATAGGAAGGTCAGAGTTGGGAGGCCCTACCTCAAAAAAAAGACACAAAAAGAGCTGGCAGAGTGGCCCAGGTCGTAGAGCACCTACCTAAGAAGTACAAGGAAGCCCTGAGTTCAAACCTCAGCACCACCAAGAAAATGAAAAAGAAAAAGGTAGATCTAGTCATAACTAGAACTGAATGGAGGCTTCCCCCTCACCTGGCCAGCCTCCTCAAAGTCACACTGTCCCTTTGTCTTTCAGCTCATGGACTCTGTCATCGTACACCTGCCTTTCTTTATTCACTTATTGTCATCTGCTTAACCTGAGCGGCCACTAGAATTTGCAGCCCCTGAGTTAGATATTGTCACTGCTCCAAAATTTCCTTCAATAGCCCTCTAACTCGCAATCAACACCTACTATGTACCTGGTTTTGCTTTTTTTTTTTTTTTTATCAGTATTGGGGCTTGACCTCAGGATTTTGTGCTTTTGCTCAGTTTTTCTTGCTCAAGGCTGGTACTCGATCATTTGAGCCACATCTCTACCTCTGGCAGGGGAGTTGGTTTCTGGCCAAGGAAGAAAAGGATGGATTTGTTGAGGAGGAGGCTAGGAGGATTCAGTGCCAGTCACTAGAGACCCCCATGAAGCCCCAGTGCTCTCTGAGTGTCTCCTAGGGACTGGAGAGGATTTTCCCTTTTCTACCTGATGGCTTTGATGCCTGCCAGTGCCCAGGTGGTAGTTTCTTCCCACCTTCTCCCTCTGGAAATAGTGGTATTTTTTGAAGACAATTTTGCTAACGATTGACTTCACCCAGCTGATGAAGTCTGGCAAATTCACACACTCTAGTAACCACCATCATCGTAGACAGTATTTAAAATATTTCTATCATTCCCAGAACGCCTGCTTCCTTTTTAAGAGCCCATCTATCTACCTGTGTTTTGTTGTTGTTGTTGTTATTCTTTTTGTGCTGGAACTGGGGTTTTCACTTGCCTCTTGCTTGCCTTTTTTGCGCATGGCTGGGGCTCTACCATTTGAGACACAGTTCTACTTTCAGCTTTTTGCTGGTTAATTGGAGTCTCATGGACTTTCCTGCTCCAGCCCCCAGCTCTGTTACGGAAGCCAGGAAGCACTGGTATATTGCTATCTCAGTGCCACCTGTTGCTTCCTTCCATAACCCTGACAGGGGTGGGGCAGGCCCCAAGTGGAGGCAACTACTGCTCAGAACAGAGATCCAACCCTCAAAGAACCATGATGGTCTTTCCCCTGGGTAGGTCCTTCCCCAGCCAGCCTCTCTCTGAGAGGGAGAAGTCTGTTGAGTGTCACGGAACAGATACTTTTGCTCCCTTTCTACAGACCAGATAACTGACGTACCACATTCTTTTGTTGTTGCTGTTTTATTTTGTTCTCTTGGCCCTAGGGATTGAACTCAGGGCCTTGAGCTCTCTAGGCAGGTACTCTACCCCTTGGGCTATGCCTCCAGCCCCTTTTCTGCCTTGATTATTTTCCAAGTTGAGTTTCACTTTATTCCTAGCTGGCCTGAGCTTTGATCCTCCGATTTGTGCTTCCCCAAATCACTGGCCATGACAGGTGCATGTCACTGCTCCTAGCCGGAGCTCCTCCCCCTCCCCCCCCACAGCTGGGATAACAGGTGTGTGCTACAGTGTCCATCCATCAGTTGAGATGGAATTCCAACATGGAGGGAGGAGAAGCACTCCACCAAGCCCCGTAGCTGAGCTTCTCACATGTCCTCTCCTTTCCAGAAAACAAACACAGCCACCAAGCTCTGGACATCAGAAGAGAAAGGAAAACCCCTCTACCTGGGTGGCTACAGACAACCTGGATGTCACTCTTGCTACCAAGGAATATAGATGACCTACTCTTGGTTTGGGGCCACTCTTATAAGGCAAAGGTGATTAAAAGAGAAACTACACAGACTCCAGAATCCCTATCCTAGAGGAAATCGGGCTGAACAGGACTTGGAGAGAAGGGTGACTTGAAAACCGGGGGGGTGGAGGGAGTGAGGTGGGGGGGGTAGACGATTCTCATTCACACAATGCTTGATGGGGCTCCACTTCTATTTTGTCCTTACAGTGACCCAAGCAAGAAATCCCACCAGCCCTTCCATGTGACTCAGTGGCAGAGCATTAGCCTAGCATAGGGAGGGGAGGGGGCTGGGCCGGGATGGAGAGAATAGGCCCCGTCCAGCAGCTGGGTACATCTCTGCTTCTTAGTGTACCTCCCATTTTTTTTGTCTTGTTTTGCTGGCTACAACAGGCATGTATTTTCATACAGTCTTGGAAGTTAAAAAACAAAAGTCAAGGGGTCAGCAGCTTCCTTCCTTCCTTTCTTTCTTTCTTGCTTTCTCTCTTTCTTTCTTTCTGATACTAGAACTTGAACTCAGACATTTGCTGCTGCCCCTTAGCTTCTTTTTCTTTTTTCCACTCAGGTCTAGCATTTTTTTTTCTACAACCACAGCTCTACTTCTGCCTTTTTGGTGGTTAATTGAAGAGTCTCACAGACTTTCCTGCTTGGGCTGGCTTCAAACTGTGAGCCTCAGATCTCAGCCTCCTGAGTAGCTACCATTACCTGGCTACCTCCCTCTTTAGACTGAAGTAGGTCTGAGTCCTGAAACTCTAGCCATCAATCTCAGGATCTTGGATCCCCTGTAAGACAATTCAGTGACCACTGAATTCGGTAATCCTAACAGAGTGGGCTCACCTATTCTACCAATTCTCCTGGTGACCTTTAAAGAAATGACCTCTTCTCCAACTCCCAGGGGTCTAAATGCTCCTATATCTTGAGCATCTCCTACTTTCTATCCAGCTGACCACTGGTCCTTTCTCCAGTCCCCTCCTCCCTTGCTCCTCCTTCCCCCTTCCACCCAGTGCCGACCTTCGACCTTCTCGGGCATACCTGGGCACAAGCTGGAATAGAAGCCCTCCTTCTTGAGCATGATCAACAGGGAGCCCCAGCCCAGGAGCACAGCCGAGAAGAAGAGATTCTCCAGGACAGCGCTGCAGGCCATCCACCAGCGCCTGCCATAGGCCTGCTTCAGCGTGGGGGCCATGCTGGCCGAGACACTGCAGAGGAACAGGGCGCTGAGGGAGGGGCCTCCCATGGGCCCCGGCGAAGTGTACTGCATCATGTCGCTTCCTGAGACCCCCTCGGGCCCACCCCTCCACCCAAGCCCTTCACGGAGGTCCCAGGGAGCTCTGGGGGGCGTCCTAGTGGCTGGCAGCCGAGCTGGCCCGGCGCGCTCTGGCAGTGCCAGGGGCGCATGGCGCGCTGGGCTCCCGCCTGGCCACTATCAGAAACAAGGAGAAGTCCTGTGGACGCGCAGCCGCTTCCTGGCGCGCGGCCGGGCGCTGGGGCGCGCTAGAACCCGCTCCCAAGGAACCAAACCCCCAACTTCCCCGAGTCCCCAAAGACCCACAAAAGGGGCAGATCGTTCTCAGACTAGCCCTTGTCAGCCTCCGGTACCAAGAAATAGACCTCCCCCCAACTCCACTCCACGCTCCCCCCCGCCCCAAACCCGACCCCAGAACTAGGCAGGAGAGAAAAAAGAAGTCTAGAGACTAATTCCCCGACACCCTGCCCTCCCCCCCTTTCCTGTCGTCGTCCGCCTCCTCCCCCGGCCGCACCAGGACACCCGAGTCCCTACAGTCGCTCTAGGGCCAATCCAACAGCTGCCACGTGGAGGGAGACCCAGGGCGGGCCCGGAGGCGCCCCCCTCCCCCCGCGCGCCCCGCATGGCGCCCCGCACCGCGCCGCGCGCCTCGGACACCGCCAGGCCCCCTCGGCGCCCCAGAGGGGCTCCGGCTCGGGCAGGAAGTCCGGTGATTGCTGACTTCATAAGGGCAGCAGCGGCGGCGGCGGCGGCGGCGGCGGCGGCGGGAGGGGGCGGCGAAGGAGGGTGGAAAGACGGACGAAGGAAGGAGGGGAGCTAGTCCTTTCCCCGCCTCCCCCCAGGGGGGACCCCCCGAGAGTGACACCCGGGCTGCGACCCTGGAAAGTGGAGACACCTCGAAGGACAAGGGAGGAAGACTTAAGATCCAGGGGAAGGAAGCGCCGATCGCTTCTCTTGGGGAGGGGTGGAGGCGGGGGGTGTCTCAATAGCTTGGTCTGTAAAATCGGGGCTCCTGAGAGATCCGTTCCGACGCTGACAACTGTCTGGGTAAACCGAGGAAGGGACGGGACAGGAGGCCAGTCGGAGAACAGAGAGAAGGGGTGGGGTGGAACGCGCCCCGGCACTTGGAACAAAGTGCCGCACGAAGGTCCCACGGGCTCCGTCGCCCACACTTCTTGGGGAGCCAGCCTGGTGGCCCTCGGCAGATCGCAGATGGGGGAACCCCCGTTCCTCCACCCCCCACCCCCCACAAGAGTCCCCCTCTGCTCACCTGGGGTGGTAGGGTGGGGGACGCAGGCGCCTGGGACAGCCGCGGATGCCCCCGGGAGCGCGCAGTCGGGGCGCACGGCGGGCGCCCGGGATCCCCGCAGGCCCAGCCCTGAGCCGCACCCACGCGGGGGGTCTCCTCCGGGTGCCGCGGAACTTGGGCAGGACACCCCGGTGAGCTCGCCTCTTCGGGGACCCCAGCCCCCACACACACCCCTGGGGAGAAGCGTCGGCGCTGGGAACTCCGCCAGGCGCCCCGGTGCCGCGAAGCCAGGCACCCACAGAGGAACAGATCTGCGGAGCTGATAGTTGTATTTACACACGCGGCCGCCCCGAGGTGGGGGCGGGGGCTCCCGCCGCTTCCCCTCCCCCTAGGTCGAGTTTCACACGCACGTGACCCGCCTGCTGGTCCCCAGATACTCTCGCTAACGCACGCGCCCCAGCGCCTCAATTTCCACCCTCAACCTCCTTCCAGCCCCACCCCTGCCCTCTTGTTATTCCCTTCCAGAAGTCAGGCGGTGCCCTCGCATCCTTCGTCAAAACAAAGAATGATTGAGTTTGAAGCTGCCCGGGATGCTGGGCAGGCTTGGGTGGAGGTTTTGCTCAGTGTAGTTTGGAAAGGCGTGTTTTCTTGAGTTGGTCTGAGTGTGTTTAACTTTCACATTGTGAAGTTGGCTTTGAGACTTTGAGACCCACTAGCCTGGGCTGCCTTGGGCAGTTTAATCTCTCTGAGCTTCCGTCTTCCTGCTCTGTAATTTGGGATAACAAGAGAATATACCCACCTGCCTGTGGGAATTAGGGGTTATGATCCAGGCCGAATACTGGGTACCACATTGGGCCCTGTCAGCATAAGTGCTAATTGTTGTCATTATGTCTTTATTATTTCACAAGACCTGGTGCTGCTTCCTTCCTGACACCAGGTGAATAGCTCAGCCTCCCTCAACCCCCGTTTCTTTATCTGTAAACGGGAGTGGGGAAGGGTGACACTCCTTTAACTGTGGTATTATTCATTACTGACATAATGGTTGAATGCAATGTTAAGAAAAAGTGGTCAGGCATGGTTGATTCACACCTGTAGTCCTAGCCACTAAGGAAGCTGAGATCTGGAGGATTGCAGTTTGAAGCCAGCTAGAGCAGAAAAGTCCTTAAGACTCCATCTCCAATTAACCAGCAAAAAGCTGGGCTGATAGTGTGACTCAAGTGGTTAGAGAGTCACTAAGGGCCAGGCCCTGAGTTCAAACCTAGGTATCCTTCCCTCCCCCCCAAAAAGTGAACGTGGTTGTGATACAGAGCTCTTAGGGACTACCAAGAACCATCTGTAAGGCAACAGGGAGACCTCAGACAAGAAGCCACGGGGCAGCAAGCCAAGAGAGGAACTAACATTACCAAATGGTGATGTCAGTACCATACACTAGGTACTTAAAAAAAAAAAAGTGTTATTGAATCTTTAGACCATCAGGGGCTTGTTCAAATGTCACAGCTTTTCACAATGAGAAAATGAAGTTTAGAGTTGGAACAGGTTGGAGGTAGGATAAGATGTTGGGTCTACCTGGCATTTAGGTTTTGCATTTTCCTATTCAACCGGGACCATGGCAAAAGAGCAGCGGCTGAGCAGTGGCAAAAGTACAGGAAGTTCTCACTGGCAAAAAGCACAAGTTGGGTTTTGATGGTTTCACTTCTTAAAATGCAATAGTGCAGGCTGGAGGTATGGCTCCATGGCAGAGCTCATAATTAGCATGCATGGGGTACCAAGTTGCATCCCAGTCCAAAAAAAAAATTGAGGGCTGGGAAGGTGCCTTGCATGCATAAGGGCCTTGGGTTCGATTCCTCAGCACCACATAAGCAGAAAAAGCTAGAAGTGGCGCTGTGACTCTAGTGGTAGAGTGTTATCCTTGAGCTGAAGAACTGAGGGGCAGTCCCCAGGCTGAGTTCAAGCCCCACAACCGACAAAAAAATTGAAGCTATTGGCTTCCAGAACTTTCAGGGCAAAGTCAAACTCCTTACCTGGGCACAAGTGGCCTTAGAGTAAATGTCCTAACCCCAAAGGATCATGGATCCCTTGAGATACAATAACATTAATCCATTGTTTATAAAAATGTTTGTGTAAACACTACCACATATATTTGTGTTTTTTGTGGTTGTTGTTGTTCTAGTAGTGGGCTGATACTCCAGGATTGCATTCTTGCTTGGCATTTTTGCACAAGGCTGCTATTCTACTACTTGAACCCTACCTTCTCTTTGTTTTTGGCCAGTCCTGGGGCTTGAACTCAGGGCCTGGGCACTGTCTCTGAGCTGTTTTTGCTCAAGGCTAGCACTCTACCACTTGAGCCACAGAACCACTTCTGGATTTTGCTGTTTATGTGGTACTGAGGAATGGAACTCAGGGCTTCATGCATGCTAGGCAAGCACTCTACCACTAAGCCACATTCTCAGTCCCCACCCACCTCCTCTTTGTGTGTATATGTACAACGTGTTGGTCCTGGGGTTTGTACTCAGGGCCTGGGCACTGCTCAAGACTAGTGCTCTACCATTTGAGCCACACCTCTACTTCCGGCTTTGTGGGTGCTTAATTGGATATAAGAGTCTCACATACTTTCCTGCCTGGGCTGGCTTTGAACCACGATCCTCAAATCTCAGCCTTCTGAGTAGCTAGGATTACAAGTGTGATCCACCAGCATCTGGCCACTTCCAGCTTTTTTGCTAATTAATTGGTGATAGGAGTCTCTCATACTTGTCTGGGCTGCCTTTAAACCTTGATGCTCAGATGTTGTTTCCTCAGTAACTGGCACTTCCAACATGAGCCAGCGGTGCCTGGCTTGCACTGGTTTTTGCAGAACCCTTTCCATGGACCCCTATGACTTGCCCGTCTCCCCTTTATGACCTGATAACTTTGTGGAAGCAAAGGCTTTGCCTGTTTACTTCTTGTATCCCCCCAGCCTGGCACCTAAGAGGCAGATGTGCATTGAGGAGTCCATACAGCTGTTTTCACACCTGCTCTTCCCTGTGAGTGGCAGATACCTTTCTTCATTTCTAATGCATGCTTCCTGCATAGCTTAGCTCACGTTTCATCTCAGGAAGCTATCTGGCCTCCTGGGCTGGGTGTAGTGACATACTCCCCCACCCCCAACAGTGTTGAAGCCCCCGCACTGATCTAGATTGCTCAGTTTAGTTCCTTCCTCCCTTCTTCCTTTCCCATTCTACAAGATAGAACATCTTGTATGTCTGCTGCCTACTGAAAGCACATGGTTAAGTTCCTTGTTGGACAAGTGGAAAGGAAGTGCAGAAACGAGGCTGGAAAGTCAGGTGAGGATCACCTTGGAAGGACCTCCACGAGGTCAATGGATGGAGAACTTCCAGATTTTGTTTGCTTTGTTTGGATTTTCCCTGGATTTCTTTCAGCTTTGTTTCTAATGGAGATAGACGTGGGAGAGCCTGTGTGTGGGACACATGAAGGATGTTAGGAATGAGACCTTACGTTGAGATCACTTGTACTAGTGCCTCACACCTGTTATCCTATTTAGGAGGCAGAGATTATGAGGATCTTAGTTTGAAGTCAGCCCAGGAAAAAAGTTCACAAGACCCAGCTATACGGGAAACTGAAATTAGAAGGGTCTTGGTTCCAGGCCAGCCCAACAAGGTCACAAGACTACATAGTACTTGTGCAAGAAATTACTTATTCAGCCTAACAAATATGTATTAGAAACTTGGCACAAGAAATGTAAATAAAATGATACAGCCAGACTGGAAGCATGGCTCAGGTGGTAGAGTGCAAGCCTATGAGTGAAAGCATCAGGGTGTAAGTTCAAGTTCTGGTCCCAGAAGGAAAAAACAAAAAAACAACAAACCCTTTGCCAGACACTAGTACCTCACACCTGCAATCCTGTCTACTCAGGGGGCTAAGATCTGATTTGAAGCCAGCCCCAAGAAGGAAAGTCTGTAAGACTCTTATCTCCAATTAACCACCAAAAAGCCAGAAGTAGAGCTGTAGC